ACAAATACAAGGCCATAAACTTAAAGCATATCCTTGTATAACCTTTTACGGCAGTCAATTATCTATTTTCAAGATTAAATTTGTTTTTTCTGCTAAAAGGTTATGAAAATACTGAACATTGGGATTTGATGAAATTTGCTAATTGTTAACTTGATAAATCAGTTTTTTATGAATCTTTATAAATTTTCCATACAATTATTAATATAAAATATGCCACTTCATTCTCCCAAAATGCGTATTTATTTGATTTGTATATATTTAAGCTATACTTAAATATATTTTTTAGAATTGTATTTTTTTCCAGTGAGAAAATCCAGGTTTCGCGTTTTTTGTAAAATCAAAACCTGAATTATTTAAATTTATTTAAAACGTTTATATTCATTTTCTTATAATAATTTGCAATAGATAAATAATTTGATAGGTTTATTATATTAAATAATTATTTTTAGTATATTAGAGCAAAACTTGTTATAACTTATACACTATTAAAAACAAATTCGATATTCAAGCGCATATTATATTTAGGTCAGGACTTTATAAAAAATGCGAAACCCGGATTTGCTCACTGGAAAAAAGTTTCAACCTTTCATTAAACCCCATTTTACTATATATAATCTTGTAGCAACAAAAAGGTTCATGTGGAATTATTTTCATAATCTTTTATGTAAAATTAATACACAAATCAGTTAAAAAGTTAAACTCTATATCAACGACGTAAAAAATAAAATAACTTAGATAAAAGAATTTATTAAAAAAAAATTAAAAAAAAAAATAATTTATTTAAAACGAATTTACAAAATTTAGGGGAGATTCTAACAACCTTATGATGACATTTTAATAACCTTATGATGACATTTTAACAACTTTATGATTACGATTCTAACAACCTTATGATAACACAAGAAATAATTGGTAAAAGTAAAATAAACTTTAACCAATTACCTCCGGAAAAAACGATAAATTTAAAAGAGTTAAATGATAAAAAGGCTTTTGATGGATTTAATAAATACTTTGATTTAATAAATATATAGGTACGAAACTTCCTTCTAAATTAAAATGTGCAAATAAACTATTTGAAAGTTATATTAAAAGCTTTCGTGGCTCCCTGTAATTTAGAGAACTTGAATAAAAAGTACTTAAAATTGCAATGAAAACACTTTAAAAAAATGTAGTTTCGAATGTTTCCTCATTTTTAACTCTTCATTATAGAAATTGTACCAGACAAGCTAAAATGGCTAAAATTTTAATTAATTACAGATCAATATCAATCCTTTCTGACTTGTCAAAACTCCTTGAACAAATAATCTACAATTGTTATATAAATATCACTTCTTCCTGAGTTGTTAAAACTCCTCGTACACATAATCTACAATTGCTTATATAAATAACTTAACCACAAAAAAAAAAACCCTAATGAAAATGAATAAGGCTTTCAATCGATTTACTAATCAATTAAAATTTTTTGTCATTCAACAATTCACTAATTAAGATTAGTAAATTGTTCAATGAAAAAAAGTTTTAAATAGGTGATTTATATACTTTTCAAAAACTTTTGACTCGGTAAATAATGCAATTCTAGTTTTAAAAAAATATATAAAAACGAATTAAAAAACCAAACTTTACGGTAGCTCAAAAACTACCTGGATAACTAAAACTGTTATTATAGATAAAGAAAATTATTTATTTATATATTTTTTATGCTTTATTTTGCTATACAGTGTTTTTCTATCCAAAGATATTGTTGGTTTAGCATAGGAACAACCACAAATAGTTATAAAGACAAAGTAGCGTCCGTTATTGACTAAAGTTTTCGTGTACTGAAGTACTATTCAAGCGCTTTGGTTATATATAAACCATTTGTGAGTAGATTTTAAATTTATTAACATATAGAATGTGGTAAATAATCGTTGTCTTGCTTGTGTTGGTCCTAATCAAATCTTAAAAGAGAGGGGTTGTGGGTGATCTGTATTTTGCCGACTAAAGCCTTGAAAAAAATATTTGCCGACTAAGGCCTTAAAAATAAAAGTCCTCGTTTGCTGATATTGTTGACTTCAAACTAAAGATCCAACACCATTGTCTAAATTTGCAGACTAATTTTTAATTTAATTTTTTCTACTTTCGCTCTTTTGGGACGGCCCTGGGTGGCAAAAAAATGTTTTTTTAAATCTTGTAGGAGGAGGAGGTGTTGTGGTTGGGGGAGGGCAATAGCCCTTTCATCCCTTTTCCCCACTTATGGATGATGACTTCTTTGAGTCCCTTTCTGCTTATATTGTATATTGTATATTATTTAAAACGTAAATCTAAGGCTTTTATTTTTCAACATTATTTTGAGAAGCTCCTTGTTGATTATAGTATAGAAGTTTATTATATTATATATCAGAAAAAAAAAAAACTTTGGCGAGGTTTTTATAATTTTGCGAAACAGAAAGGTTACGGAAAAGAATTTCATTACTAAATACCTTGTAATGATTAAACTTTTATTTCATTATAAATATATATGTATGCTTTTAAAAATAAACTTTATTTTTAATCAAAAAAAATTTTTTTTTTAACCCTATTGGTACCTTAAAAAATTAAATTATTATTTAGTACTACTTACATTGCTAATTTCACAACATACCAAAATTTCACAACATACTACATACCAAAACTTCACAACATACCAAAGTTAGTTTCAAGCAAAAATACAGATTTATATAGTTAATAATGGTAAATATTATTTAAATTATTTTTTTTGACTTAATTAGCACTTAAATACAAAAAAAAAAAAAAAAAAAAAAAAAAAAAACCATCATTTTTTCAACTTCATAATGATATAATAAATTGAAAGTCAAAACACTAATAGTTTATCTCTTTATAATAATACTGGACTTAATAGTAGTAGTAGTAGTAGTAGTAGTGCGCTTTCGAGCCTGTTTGACACGATACTCTTGGCAACCATTGCATCCGAGGTAGTGACGAGAAAGAGTCTTACCTTTGCTTTATAAAAAAACACTTATAAGAAAACGAGAAAGAGTCTTACCTTTGCTTTATAAGAAACTCATATTGTACGTACATAAACTTCATGTTATGTAATGTTAAAACATGCTTAAACATATATTAAGTTCAACAGTTTGATTTTCACTTAAGAACTGCATTTCGTCAACCTTTGCTTAATTTCTAATCTTTTGTGTTTTTATCCGTTAAAAAACAATTTTTATATAATTTGAAATCTTTAAGACACTAATACCATGTTCACACTAGCGATGTTCGGCGGAACATTATTCCGGAACAAATGTTCCTGGAACAAAATGTTCCACAAAATGTTACTTGTAGCGTTCACATGTAAAATTGGCTTGACGGTACATAAAAGAAAAAACGAGTAAAAAAACGGTAGGTAAAACTCGAATAAAAATTAGTGACAAACAGTTTGGCAAATACACATTGTTAATATAATTTATTAATTTTCAATATTTAAACATTTATGAGAGGTAAAACTAAATACAAATAACGCTGAGGGTTTAGCTAGCTCAGAGTTAGACAATAGAAACCCAACCCAAAATACCCGCCATACAAAAGGTGACGTTGGAATTTTGTTATCCCGTTTTTTGGCTTTTATGGATAGGTAATATCTCCTTTAGTCGCTTTTGACGACACAGAATAGTAGTCCATCAGTGGTATAGTACCGAATAAACATATTATACATTAATATGTTACCCACGACCAGTTAAAACTAATCTCATTTTGTGTTCATACATATTTAATATTTATTTATTTAGACACATTTGAGAACCTCAAGGAAAGTAAGTAAATACATAACCATATTACAGCTAAAGCTTTAAATAATAAATAACATTACTACTTTACTTGTCCATTTCATAAAGGTATTTAGCAATTGAGTCACGAACATTTTTTCCTGGTCCATTGTTCCCAGTTGTAGAAACTGTATTGGGTTGAGCTAGACTGTCATCATGATGATGCATAAGCCATTCTATTATAATAATATCGTCATAATATTCACAAATGTTGTGAAGAGTGACGCAAGCATTAACAATTCTTGTAGCAAAGTTAATATCGCATTCCATACGTTTGCAAATTACACGGAATCGAGCTTTAACGAGCCCAAAAGCATTCTCAACTACTCTTCTAGCTCCGCAAAGTATTTTATTGAAATTTTTTTAAATTTCACTAAGCTCCAAAATTTTAGGATAAGGTTTTAACAAATGACGCGTTAAAGGAAATGCTGAATCACCTATCAAACATAGCGGAATAAGAGAATCGCCCAGCTCTTTACAACATTTATCAAATAGACTTGATTCTAAAATTGCTTTCAAAGAAGAATTCTGAAAAATATAGCTGTCATTATTTCTACCAGGCGATCCAACACTTGTATAAATGAAACGGTATCGGCAGTCTACAACGGAAAAAAGTACAATGGAATACCACCCTTTATAATTATAATAAGAAATTGCTTGATCTTTAGGGGCGAAAATAGGGATGTGGCGTCCATCAACAGCTCCAATGCATTTTTGAAAACCAAGAATAGCTTCGAAATCTCTACTATGTTTAATTAAATTTTCCACTGACAATGGAAATTTAACATATTTAGGGAGCAAAATGTCATTAACAGCATTAATAAATTCATGAACAATTAAATTTGCTATTGACTTTCCTATGCCAAAAAGGCTAGACACACCACGATACTCTTCACATGAAGCTAGATAATGTAATGCAACTGCAACACGTTTTACTACTGAAATAGGTTCTCGAAAAGTTGTGGTAGTTTTGCCTAAAAGTGGATGCAATTCATAAACTAGGAAATTAAATGTGTTACGATTTACTCGAAAATGCTCTTTAAATTCACATTCCTCCATTTGATTAAAAATCTCATTAAACCATTGAGAACTTTTCGGCCTAACCCAAACTTTTCTTTCAATCAGATACCCTTGTTGATTTAACTTAAAGGAAGCTAAATCTAAATATGAAAATGGGTGATTGATTCATCATTGATTAATGTTCTACTTCTTAATCGAAGTACGGCTAAAACGCTTTCCATGTTTTTCCAATAGCTTTTTCCTTTACAGATGTCTCCCTAAAAGCTATTAAAACTATATAAATATATTAAATAAATATAATACTTATTATATTACAATTCAAGGAAAATTAAAACACATTTTTAAAACCATTTTGTTAGAATTGATACAGCATGATCTGTTAACAAAAACAAAAATGAAACATGTAATGCAATTTGTATAAATTAAAAACAAAACACGTTGGCAAAAAACATATCACTATAATTCATCTACAGGCTTGTTTCATATCGCAAAAAAAAATTATTTGGTAAAAATACTAAATATATATAGCATAGAGATACAAAAAAAGGCATTTATAAAATAACATGACAAATTTAAAAAATACCACCAGATATGCATTTTAATGCTTGAAATCACAAAATATTTTTATTTTACATTTTACATAAAGTAAAAATTCCTTTGATAATAGTAATATGGTAACATGAAAAAATATATATAAATAGAGCTTCATCTACAAGCTTGTACAATATTTCACTAACCATCTCTTTAGTTAAAACATTGAAAAACCTTATGAAATATATATTGCATAGAATTGTAAATAAGGTATACTGTTGAAAAAATACTGACCTTTCAACTTTAACATAATTACTAAAAAGATATCTTGACTAATAGAACACCTTATTTTTTTATTAAAAATTTATAATACTCTACTTGGGCTTTTGACACATCTACTTGGGCTTTAGATGCATTTTCAATTGCATCGCAAATACGCTCTAAAGCAACAACCTCTCTGATTCGTAGCTCTTGTGAACGGATTTGAACATCTAGATTTTTATTTGCTATTTTTAAATATTCAGAAGAAAAATTTGTTTTTTTATTTTTTCTCACCGGTTCAGTTTTTGCTATTTTATTCAAAGTTTTTTTATCATCAGAGTTCCTTCGTTTATTCCAGCTGGATGTAGATTGAGATAGTTCCTCATCAGGAATAGTGACAATTGATTGCACATCACTTGTATCATCCAAAGCTTCAATATTTAAAATACTGACAGCCTCCTTGCCATCTTCCATTGTGGCAATCTGTAAATAAAATATACACATTAAAAAAATTACACATTTGAGAAATGATTATAAATCATGTTTCAATCAAAATTTATCTCTTGACTTTGAACGACTTAACTTTCAAAAAGGATCTATTTAGACAATAGCATTTGTCAAATTGATCTAGCCAATATTAAAAGATCCTTTTTATAATTCAAAAACTTTATATTATATGTTTTTGATCTTTATGTTTTAAGTCTGCCAAATGTTGCAAAACTAAGAACCTCTTAAACCTTATTTTGTAGAAATAGTTAACATGCTTGTTTATATTACTTTAATAAATATATAGCACTTATATATTAAAAATATATAGCACAAAATATACAACAATAAATTATACTAAACTTACCTGACCATCTTGAAAATCTTGAGTAGAAAAGTTTTGACTTTGAGATAAAAGGTCATTGTCAAGAGAAGCTTCACCACCTATTATTTTGGCAACAATATCGTAAGGCCACCATTTACTAGGAGTTCCTCCCGATGAACCAACTTGAAGTTTTTCTCGTCTATGAAAAATGTACATAAATATAAGTAAATATAAGCACATCATTAACACCGTATAAGGTTATTCAAATAACTTTAAATGGACAAATTATTATTAACGAAATAATTATTAACAAAATTAACGAATTATTAACAAAATAATTATCAACGAGCTGTAAATCTTCAATACTGAATAAGATTTAAGTAATTTTTAATATAACACTCAGTTACAAACTAAATTGCAATTAGATATTATTACACATGGTTAGTTTTGTAAAATACTTTCAGTATTTCAGTAAGGTATCAAACATTAAATGTAGAATATGTACGTACCTAAATTGCTTCCTCAAATTACTAATTTTAGATTGAATTTGATATCCAGTTAACGGAGGTACGATATTAAATGTGTTTGAAAATTCAGCTGCCATTTGTTTGTAAATATTTGTGTTTCTTCTTGCAGACGTTAATGCTTTGTAATTATCTTTCCATAAATTTAATAATACTCTTGTGTTAGCCATATTCCATACAAATTTATTTAAAGAAGATGTGCAAAGACCAATATTTGTGCTAGCGTCAATACACTCTTTTTCTGAATGCTGAGACATTGTGTAAAATTAAAGTTTTACCTACTAAAAAGAATAAGTACATTGAATCTTGCAACAATAACAACAACAACAACAAAAAGAAGAGAAATAGTTAATAATAAAGTTAAAGGTTAAACTTCATAATTGCTATAAATGTTATGGGCTTAAAATAACTTAATAATGTTATGGGCTTACTAAATAATTTAATAAATTGCCAAAAACTGGTAGCCAAGAGAACAGAAACTTTCAGATGCTACTTTTACTTTTTTTTACTTTTCTATGCAATGTGATAATTATGTTATTTAACAACATTGATCTTTCAACACTATTGTTTATTTTTATTTTTAAATGTCAATAATTGTAGTACATGGTGGCAAAGATATAAGGCACAGTCATATCAATACAGTCAATCAATAATATATATTCTGAATAAAGGTCTTACTTTCACAATTATTCACAAACAGTAAATTAACTAATATTAAGTAAATACAGAATATTTATGAGGAAAATACTAATGATAATGTTCACAAACTAAAATAACAAGATAAGACAATGCTAATATAATAAAATATATATGACATATAAATAAAATATATGACAAAGCTCATATATAACAATATATACCAATAATAATATCATTAATAATATTAATATAAATAATAATAACAATGGTGATAATAATGATAATAATATTAACAATTGTTATTGTTGTTATTGTTATCATTATTATTGCTATTATTATTCTATTATTATAATTATTACAATAATAATAATTATTATTTTTACTATTATTATCACTGTTGGCAAGGCTAATGATAAACAACTCTGCTTATTAGTTCAAAGTTGAATTTTATAAATAAAACTACTATAAGTTTATTAAAAATGCATTAATAGCAATGCTTGCAAAGAATATAATTAAATAAAAACTATTAAACAATGAAAATTAAACTTTCTTAACGCAAGTTAAATGTTACCTTGAATTATACTTCTTGTTAATTTAAATTAAAACTGATCTTTATAAGAATAATACTGTCTTTGTAATGTTATATTTTAAGATTAAGTTTTTAAACACACATATATAACTTCTTTTTAAATTAATAATACACTAATAATTAAATTTCTATTCTATTTATACAAATTTTAAATATCGTTAAAAATAACTTGAAATTTGTGATGGTCAAATAATTGTTTTTAAATAATTGCCTACCATCTGGTCTACTCATAATTGATCCCACACGAGTGGGATCGGAATTTCCTTGGTTGCATGAAATTACCACAAATTTTTACTCAATGAATAAAGATATGAAACTATATTCGAAGAAATGTTTTGAATTCAATAAAAAAGATGGAAGGCAAAAACTAAAAGTTTCAAGGCAACATGTTGAAAGGCAAATAGTAAATCGATAATCTTGTCTTGATATATGACCAAGGACAACCTAGGACAATGCAGAGATCAAGGACTAAAAACTCTGGTTAAGATGACAACAACTTTGTAAAAAAAATAGTTTGAGTTACTTTCCCAACAAATTTGCATCTTGCAATGCATTTTTATTGAACCATTTAGCTTATATGCATACGCTTATTTTAAAAATAGTTGAAAATAGGCACCATTTTTTATACAAAACCAAATAAATGTTCCGGAACATTTATTTGTTCTGGGTTGGCGGGACGGTACAAAAGTTCCTCAAATGTTCCTTGAATTTTTGTTCCATTTGCGTTCACACGAGAGGATATTTGTTTATGTTCCATGTTCCACGGAATGTTCCATCAAATGTACCCTCGTGTGAACAGCCTATAAGTGGTTAGTGCGCTGGGCTTCTGACCAAGTCAGCCGTGGTTCAAGTCCTACCATCGGCGACCTTCTTTTTTATTTTTTTTGCGCATGTGTCATTATTGAGATACTCATGTTATTTTAGTTAAACTTTTCAAATTTATTTACAACTAAATTGAGCAAGGAAAATTAGTAAAAAACATGTTTATATATAGAATATAAAATCTATATAACTTTTGATTTGCACTTTAAACAACAAAACCGCGTGCCAAGCTGATGAACTTGCCACGCGGCGACCATAACTTTTTTTAAAAATGGTAAGGGGGCTTAAAAAGTATATTTTTGTTTAGAATATAATTAAAGATTTTAATTTTATATGTACACTAAATTATTTTATAAAATTTATTGTTTCTAAAAATAATTAAAAGTTAAACTATTTAATATTAGCATAATACCGATTTCTAATCTTTTGCATTTATATCCTTTAAAAACAATTTTTATATAATTTTGAATCGTAGCTTTTTAATGCGTCAGCGTAGTCAAGTGGATAGCGCGCTGAGCTGCAGAACAAAGCTGCCGTGGTTCAAGTGCTACCGTTGGCGACTACTGTTTCAATTTTTTTTTAGATTTTTTTAAATACAAATTCAAATACTTATAAAGTTTTATAGATATTGTATATAGGCAACATATGTAAAGATATTAATCAAAAGTTTGATCCTCGCATTTTGACACAGAACCAACTTCGCTAACGAGAGAAAAAAAATCGTTCACAAATTTCAAAATTTTGTTTTTTCGTTGCAAGAAGTGTCTCGCAAATGCCATTTATGTTAAAGTTAGTGATTACGCAATCAATAAGTTTAATCTTCGTATCTAGTACATTAAAAGTTATCATTTAGATGTTTTCATTTGATTGAGATTTTCTTGCGTTATAAACCGGATAATAGTTCTTATGAACTGTAACCACGCGGATAAAGTGTGCATCAATATCCTAAAGACCCATATTTTACGGGTCATGACAGCTAGTTTTAATTAATAAAGTATAAAAAATAAACTATACAAGAAAAACTAAAAAAAAATTTTTTTATAAAATAACAGCTGATATAATTTTTTAAGCTAATTAATTATGCTAAAACCAAAACTCAAATATCAATAAATTTAAATGGTAAAAAGCTAAGGGTTAACTCTAGAGCGAACTGAAGCCATCTAGTAAGGAGAAGGAGAGAGGGGCGATTTTACAAATAAGGGGCAAATAAACTTATATTTGATTAGATGGATCTAAAACATTTAGTGATGGGGTGATTTTTAATTTTTATGATTTTTGGGCAGGCAAGGCAAGCTCTCAAACCACAGCACATTTTTAGTTAGTTTTCCTTTGAATATTTGTCTCAACTGATTTAATCTATGCAACTATGAAATGCGCAATGTAATGATGTCAAAATAGTCTGATTTCAAGTTTACATCGTACAATTTTTGAAGATTTCATACTATTTTTTAACAGTCTTCTCGTCAGACTTCATTTACTTTCTTCTTTTTCAAACGATAAGCTGTGTTAAATATTTAACATTTTGTGTTAAATATATATTTAACATGTAACTTTATATAAAAAGATAAAAAGATAAAAAAATATAACTATTTTCAAAAAATTATGGAAAGGGTGTGTGTGTGTGGGGGGGGGGGGGAATCCGCCAATTTCTATGGATCCGTCATTGGTTTTAATAAGGTAGTGCGATTTTATGTATAAAAAATAATTTTCAAAGTTTTAACTCAATTATATATCTGGTTAAAAAGTATAAATGATTCGCTGTTTCTCTTCAAACAAAAATTGGGAAATCAGGTCACAAAGTTTAAAACAAAAATTTTTTTTTGGAATTTAGTTAGGATGACAATTACAAAATTCTACATGCATTTTCTTGTTAGTATTCCACTTTATATACAAAACGTTAAAACGTATCTCCGAGCGCAAAATTGAGTAAAATCTTAAGCTCAAGTATGACATACGATCTTTGTATTTAAAAAAAAAATTTCATCAGAACTTTTAAAAAATACGTTTGTTCGGTTCTAGTTTTATTTTCATTAAATTTTAACTTAGGCATCTTCAAACGAATTATGCCTTTTATATAAAATTGCAGGATTTTTCTCAGTTCAAGATAAATTTTTTTAAACCAAATGTTAAAATTTTAGTTTAATGTGATAACATTCTTTTAATTCCCATGTTAAATCAATCAAAAACTTTTGTCTTACAAATATAACGAGTCTTCAACAGTAAATCGGAATGATGCGATATTAAATATTTTCTACCCACTCTCGAGTTATCATACCTGAAAACATTTTTAAATCTGCTTTTCTTATAAAAAGTAAACTTAATTGATTTAAACATTTTAGTTAAGATTAGTTTTTTTTTCAAAGTTCAAAATATTATTTTTTTTTTCTGTTTTTGAGTCTCTTTTTACTTTATATAAATGTATAATAAGTATAATTTTTGTAAAGTGATTTTTAATACAAATCTTAAAAAAAAAAGAAAATCTAAGTAATATTTTTAAAACAGTAAATAGCAATTGATATTAAACAATTTCCTGCGTACGATAACATGTAAGGATGTCATCATTTTAACATTTATTCAATGAATGTAGCAGAAAAAAGTTATTAATTCATAGAATTGAGTTTATAATGCCTGTAGAAACAACAAATACTGAATTTTTGAACAACTCACACGCTAGCGACGATGTGCTTCCAACCTATAGGAGTCTTGCGATAGAAATTTTAAACGATCCACCGCCTAATTATAGAGACCTACCAAATATACCTGCCGCTCCACCGGTAAGTTTTTTTTTTTAATAAACTAATCATTCTTCTTACTTTCCTTAACATCTTTTAAATTATATTTAAATTCAATTAAATTAAATTATATTTAAATTTAATTTTTTATTCATTACTTTGCTTAAAAGTGAAAGTTAAAGTTTACTTAAACAGTTCAATTTAAGTTTCCACATCTATTTTCAGATTGAGTTGATTGTGAAGAAACTTAGTAGTAACAGCAGAAACACAACACATCCAAACACGAGAAAATGCAATAAAGACTTATTAAAAAAACTTTCTGCTTTAATGATGTTACTTGTAATTCTATCAGTTGTAATCACTTTACTGACCAACTATATCAAAATGTAAAATTCTGCGCCAAAAAGCATACAAAATGGTCGATTTGTTCATAAAACCATGATGGTGACCTACCTATGATACGACAAGATAATGAAATATTTATGTTTAGAAAGAAGATTTACTCTATATAAAAAAATATATTTAAATAATATAAAATGTTGTAATAATATATATTTAAATATTAGTATAATATCTAAAAGCAAATACTAATTATTTAAATTGTTATATGTATTTTTAATTAATTTAATTTTAAAATTGCAAAATTACTAATCTTATTATCTTAGTATAATTTAGATGATATTTAAATGTGAAATTCTCATGTTTATTTTATGATAAAAATTGAAGTTTATTTATTTTATGTATTTATTATACGTATCTGAAATGTTAAAAAATCAATTAAGTAACGTGTATTTGATTGCATTTTTTTTTGGTGCGCCATATTTTAAAATCCAAGTTCATCGCATATATATACAAGATCAGCAATATATACTAAATCATTGGTTTCAACTTAAATTGTCGAGACGTGTGGACTTGAAACCTTACTTGTATGTGTTATGAAACTTTCTAATTGATTATTATATATATTGTGTTTTTATCATTGTAAAGTACTTGAAATGAATATTTTCTAGAGATGAAAATCTCAATTGGCCGGTTCTAAATAAATTATTAACTTTTAAGTAGGTGGGTAAGATTTTTTTTTAAAATATTTGCACGGTATAATTCTATATCTTTCTGTTTTTTTTTTTTTTTTTTTTTTTACGTTAATTTCATTAAAAAAATCAAAAAATAATTTAAAAAAACTCGGCATTTCCATATGAAGCTAATAGTTTATGTTGTGGAGATATATTAGACTTTTTAATACAAATATTTTCGTAGTGCAAATGCATTGCACTATTCCTGTCTATGGTGCGGACACAAATCTGTTAATATAAAACTTATAGTTTATTTTTTTGAAATATAATAAGCATTTGGCCCATTTCAACTGGCAGATTTTTGGCTTGACAACTTTTTTTTTCCTTTCTAGATTTTTATATTTTTTTAAAGGATGCTTAAAAAGACGTCACTTTTCAAGGAAAAGACGGCTACTTTCAGTTAAAAAACAGAAGTTACTTTAAACGACCGTCAAGATATCTTGCCAAAAAGTAATTTCTGAAAATTGGCAAATTCTCAACATGTGATGCAGATTTATAAGCAATTAAAATAAAAATAGTAATATTTATTTTTTTACTTTTTTAGTCCAAAAATGTGAAAATGGCCATGCATCTTACTCAACTGTCGCCCAACAACTTTTCGTTGCGGATTGTGTTACCATTCTATTTCTTTAACTTTCATCCATAAGGTTTTTTGTTATGTACTACGTAGTTATCGATATGATTAAATGCCCAATATGCCCCTATGTACAATTAGCCCAGCTCTACCCTAACAACATTCAACTGTTAACGCATGTCAGAAAGATTTTAGCTAGCTGACTACTAAAAATCTTAAACAAAAATAACAGTTATTTACCCTGCGTTTATGAGTACAGTGGATGTTAATGAAATGCTAAACAAAATTAGATAAAAATAATGTCTCGTTAAAAAACTGTTCAGAATAACATTTTGTCTAATATAGTGATTTTCGGACAAATAAACTTTTAAAGTTGTATAAAGAGTTTTAACTTTCACGGACAATGCATAAAATAAGCTTAATTAAAAACAGAGATTTAAACAATAAAGAATTGATTAAACTTATGACCCATACTTTCTAAATACTTTTTTTTTTTTTGAACGATAAGAAATTCTCTACAACAAACATTTTAATTACAAGTTCATATGTAGCTACTATTTTTTAATAATATACTTTTTTTTAAAGGAATACAAAACACATACCGGAAAAGATTGTAAAAAAAAATAAGCGCACAAACTTTTTAATTGACTTCCGTTCTACTTTCTTTTCAACCCAACTAATTCCTAAATATCTTATTAATTTATATGTTTGTTTGACAGTTTCCCATACAATGTTAGATAAAATTACTTATGATGACCAGTTTAGTCACATTTAAAGCTTTTTTAAATAATTTGATAAGACCTAAAAGTAAATATTCATAGAAATGGGTTGAAAACAATAAGCGAAGCAACAAAGTGGCAAATAATAGGTATGAAGGATGGTTCAATGATCAATAAAAGAGAAATAGCAAGAAAATTAAAAAGTTCAGAGAATTGCATCAAATATACTCTTAAGACAACTAAAATAACAGGTGGCATCCTACGCCATGCAGAATAAGGAAGGTTAAAAAAAAACTACTAAACACGAAAATAGTTTTATATTTTGTCAAGTAAGAGCCAATCTAATGTAAAGTTATCGTGAATTCACTGACACATTCATTTAAAACCGTGAAAAACGTATGTTGTCGTATGAAACATTTTACAAAGGAAAAAAAATATGTCTATGCAGCTGTTAGAAAACCTATGTTGATGGGTAGAGATCGCCTCTCAAGATTGTAAGCCAATCTCTGGAATTAGATTATGGTGGTGTAAGGGAGAATTGGGTGGTCTTTGGAGAAGTGGAAGCAAGTAATTTTTACTGATGAAAGTAACTTTTAAATAATATATAGAAATAGCAAAGTCATTGTTAAAAGATTTAAATCGGAAAAGAATAGTAATCATTTTGTTGTACCGAGGTTTGCAACCGAGGTTGCAAAGTGGCGGCGGCAGTGTTTATACATATATACAGGTCGAATCAACCAACATACATATATAGAGATGCTAGAAAACTGCATGATTCCATTAGTGGACATGCTGATTGATCGAAACGAATGGTGGCGATTTCAAGAGATTTGGCACCTGTCCACACAGCTCTTACAGTAAAAGCATGGATGAAAAAAATAAAGTAGATTTAATGCCCTAATCAGCTCAATCAACAGAATCGAATTCTATTGAATCTATTTGGGCTTGGATGGACAAAGAATTAGTCAAGGTGTAAATACGATTCATGACTAGTCTAAAGCAAAAATTAGATAGTATTTGGAGAAGAGTTCCAAACGAAATCTGAAACAATCTTGTAAAATCAATGCAAAAATGATGTGCTGCTTGCAAAAAGGCTCGTCTGGGATATTTTAAATACTAGCTTAGATGTTATTTTTGTTGCTTTAATTTTTTATATATTGCAGTTTTTTATTTTTATTTTTTGTTAATATGTTTGATAACGCTTTTATATACAATTGTATGTTATAGTATGCCATCCAATATGCAAGATTTGTTTAAAAAAGATTTTTCTCGCAAATAAAAACTTGTTGAATATCTTCTTTAGTTTTTATTTTATGGTTGTTTAAATATGATTTAAGCCACAAAATTTCACTGCAGTTATTTTTTTTTTTGAAACCTCTGCACGTTTACCTTATGACCAATTTGTATAAAATAAAAATAAATAACAATTCATTAATAGTTAAAAAAATAATAATAATAAAATAAAAATTTCAAGAACTCGGATTAGATTTCAACAATAACATACAAGATTAGAGGTAACACCATAACTAAATTAACGGAAAAAAAGTTTATATATTCTGTGACATTTTAGTTCGAAAGAAGCATTTAAAATCGAATATATAAAAAATCATAAGAATTAACCTGTTTTAAACTGTTGTAAACTAACTTTTTTCGTATTTGCAATCTTAGCAAACTTTTTCCACAATAAAAGATCAACGATATTGATTATGTTTTTCTTTTTGAATTATATTTTGTTACAGTTAAGTTTTTTATCTGAAATTTTTGTTGGATATTTATAAACTACTAAGTCAAAATACGAATGAAATGTTTTAGGAGACAGGTTCATTTCTGTTTTATACATGAACATTAAAACTTGGTGTAAGTTGATTTTATAGACTTTTAATGCACCAAGTATACGCAGGTGCATTAAAAGGCTCGCATCGTACAATTTTATCAGGTCCAAATAATAGTCTCTACGCGTGTTTTTGCTTACTTACCCATGCGATGTTACAATAATTCTTACCCATGTCTTACACTTACAATAAAACTTACCCATGCGATATTACAATAATTCAAATTACAAGGAATGAAAGAAAAATATAAAATTTTTAAAGAAATATTATTTACAAATAATTTATATATCATGGCAATATTTTTTGATATTTTTTTCTCAATAATATATGCTCACTCCAACGTAAATATTCATCTAATAATTTGCCTAAAAAGTTTACTGAAGTTTCTTTTTTATATATATATATATAATTAAATTATCTAATAATTATAAGTAAATTTATCTAATAATTCGCCTAAAAAGTTCACTGAAGTTTCTTTTTATTTTTATATATATAATTTAATTTTATTTTGGGTACCCAAATTAAAATAAAATTATATATCACAAGTCGTAAACAACTTTTGAACTAAAGTAACTTATTATTTTTTACTCCATAATATTCATAAGTTTATTAGTATATTGCGGTTTACAGTATCAAAGCCTTTGACAGATCAATCAAAACTCCAATGTAAAGTACATAATGCGTTTGCTATTTTAACCACTACATGTTCGATTGAACATTTTTTTTTGAAACCAAACTTTAATACAACATATCGTTTTCTGATAAACGACTAAATAGCATGTTATTCTTTCAAGCAATTTAAAAAAATTTTATGTTGGTCTATAATTAGAAATAATGGAATCATCGTCACTCTTAAAATCCAGTGTGATTCGTGCAATATTCAATTTTTCCGGCACAATAACTGTTTTAAAAGAAAGAAACTTAATACTGCAAAAATTTTAAAAAAGGGAGACAAAAGAGGTTCGGTTATATCATTAACAGATTTTACAAAATTAACGTTAATTTTATCAAATCCAACATTTTTGATAGTTTTAAATTTCGCAATTGAATTAGTCATCCATAACTTTATCGTAATTTCTTAAATGAGATTCAAAAGTTCTTCTAAGTTGAACTTAGAACAACTTTTTAAAAATGAAAAGAAATCATATAGAAAACCGTTAAGAAAAACATTAAAAAGATAAAAAAAGATTGACATCTAAAACTCTTTTCACATTTAAAAAATTTTGTAAGCTGTTTGAGGCAATTCAAACGCCATCGTTCTAGTTCAAAAAAGGTAGGAAGAGATTTAGTTCGTGGAACATTAGTTAATACCAAGAGATTCTCTTTATTTTCATGGTAGTTAAAATTAATCGGAAGTGTTTTGAGATTCATCCAACTAACTATACCGTGAAAATTTTTGTAGTATTAAGTTGATTCGGAAGCATGCGATAAATTTATTTGGTATTTAGTGATGATTTCTATTTATTATTCCATATAATTTCTTTAAATCTAGGTGGGGTTGTACAATTAGTTAAACTAAATATTTGACTTTGAGGTTCATTTGAAACTTGAGGTTCGGAGTTCATGGGACTTTTACTATTGCATCATTATTTTCTGTTCTACTGTTTCTGACTTTACCTAAATTCTCAGAGATAAAAAATTACATTTTATTATAAATAATTTTATACGCCATTTTTTATTTGTTGGTTTTTAAGATACTTCAGGAAGACCTAATGAAATCTACGAGCATTGCCACAGTATTCAATGATGAGGTTTCCCGTTGCCTACCTCACTAATGTCATTTTTATGCCCAGAACATGTAAACCATTGACTTATAAAGCTTTTTATACTCTCACACTTAAACTAGAAAAAAAAGATGCAAACTTTTCTAAATTGAAAAAAATTGCAATTAGATGCAAATTTTTCTATTAATCTTTTAAGACCAGCTGTAGACGAGAGACATTAAGTACACTTAAATGGATAATCCAACTGCTATAACTTGAATGTAGTTTAATAAGCTTTTAACTAGCAACAAAACAATTATTTAAAAATATAAATATATTTTCTAATTATACAAAAAAAAAAATTGATATTTTTAAAAAGATGTTTTATGATTTAATGATATTTAAAGAAAAAACAAATATGTCTATTATTTAGTTTGATTTTTTGTTGTTGTTACAGTTTTTTTTTGTTATATGTAAAAGTTTCTTTTTACAATTTTTTTTACTTATAAAACTAGCTGCTTTGAATTACATTCAAAAAACGCAGCCTCAAAAACAAAGGAACAAACCACAACCTTCTCCAGAACGTTGATGTAAAACTAATTATAGAACTTTATGTTTCATAAAAAGTACACAAAAAATGCATTATCAAGACAGCGTGTTTGAAGAACGCAATGGAATTCGAGGTCGATTATTGCCAATTTTTGAAGCAGATGAATAGTAATTGTTTAAAAGTGCATTTCTATTTTCTTTGTCTGAAGCAGTATCGATGCTAAGAACCTAAATTAATATTAAATTATTATTATAAACCAACTGATGCGAAGTAGCGAGGTTCAAAAATTTATAAAATTGAACCGGAATTCAACGTTAACACTTCTAAAAAAGCTAAATATTAAAATTGTTAAATAGCCTAACCTAATTTTTTACGTTTAAGAAAACTGTAAACTACTAAAATAGAATTATTTTTCTTGCACTTTTTCTTGCGTCCGATTCAAAAATTAAATATTAATAAATTATTCATGACAAGTTATAAATAAGTATTTATAAAAGCTATTAGACAACTACTAACTTCGTTTCCAGTTTCATCAGGACTACGAGGTATAAGAAATTCGCTTTCCTTTTGTTTATCTTCGCTCTGTTGTAAAAACGAACCATCGTGATTCTATTTTAAAAATAGATATTGATCATTACAAAGTTCAACTGATTTTAAAGTTATACACTGATACGCATAATTACCTCATCTGACTCATACTCCAATAAGGAAGGAAGTGGAGGAATATCATGGCGTTGGCGATACTCATTAATAATTTGTTCATGTTCCTGAGTACGTTGCAAGGAACGAGGGTAGTTATACTCTTTTTGGCTAGGCGTCAAACCTGTTTAGACAAATAAAAATTATATATATATAATCCATAATAAACCAGAGTAAAAACCAAAAAACTTGAGCGTTATACATTATCGCATTTATTTTATTAATAAAAGTTTTTTTTGATAATGCGCCATGCAAAAATTAAAATTATTAAACATAGTAAGATCAACAATATTGTAATAATTGTTAGCAGTAAATAACTGAATTTTATTTGGGTCAAAATTCACGAGCCATTGCAAATCCCAAGTTGTCAAAAAAGAGATTGGTTGTCTGTTCTAAGCAATCAAACAATGACGACTTTTTTCAAGACTGGAGTATATATAGTTGTCATCAACAAAACCGCTTTAGAGGTAATATTATCAGAAAGATCACAAATATGGAGAATACCCTAGAGATTACTGGAAAAAATATATATGGAGAATACCCTAGATATAATACCCTAGAGGTTACTGAAAAAGAAGGAAACATTATTTTTTTTTATTATAAAGATTGAACAACTGATAGTTCAAAATGTTGAAAAATATCATATATCATATGCCTATCCAATCCTTTGACATGATCTCCCTAATCACTGCACTCCTGGAACATGAAATTCATTAAAATTTAAGAGGAATAACAAAAAGAGATTGCGTAGGAGCTGAGCAAGTAACATTATCCTATTTCTAGCAAAGATGATAATAAAATATTTAAACTCAGTGAACTATGTGGAGAACCAATGTTAATTAAAAGAAGTGAGTTACATTTGCATATTTCACAATACTTTAATAAAAATTATAATTTCTCATGTGGTTTTTTGTAATTATACAACCTTTTAGCAAAAACTTTTAGCAAGTTTGTTGACAAAAAATTGTTAATTGTTAAGCAACAATTCATAATTGCAAAAGACACCAAGAACTTATTCGAATGTCTAAACTCTTCTTGACCTGATAAAGATCTACAAGAAATGTCAGATTAACTCATTATTTCTTGTTACATGAAGTTTGCAAATATTCTGTGTAGCATAAAGTCCTCTATGTATAAGTATCCATATTCTTAGCGCGATGTTATGTCATCAAAAAAATTGAAATATGATTAGTTTAGAACATTGTATAAAATAAAAACTTACTAAGATTTATTTTACTTGGTTCAAATTTGTTGTTTTTTTCCTCAAAAACTCTGTTTTATTTAAAGTGCATAAAATTTATTCATTAGACCAATGTTATTCAGAGATAACTCAAGGCCTGGGGGAATTGAACCTTCAGGCCCATAAATGACAGTTTAAATTTTTTTAAATATAATTTCTTCACTATTGGTTTGCATCAATGTAAGCATTAGGGCCCGGGTGGAAAATAACCTCATTAAACAATCTATTAAAAATTTTGAATTAGACACTCCAAGGTGTTTTTTTAATATTAATTTTTATAAAAAAAAAAGTTTTGTCTCCTTTTAAAAAAAATGAGACATAAATGAGACATACCATATCAGTGGCAAAAATGTTTATGAGTGAAAATCTTGTAACATAAAAAATCTGCAGAGAGTATGTTGTTATACTCAAGATGAGATATTATAAATTTGTTAATTAAAGACTTTACAAATAATAGTAGCAGAGCAACCTCTAGCGTTTAAAAAAAAAATCGAACCACAGCTAGTATTTTACAGGAGATGGGTAAATCATATTCACTTAAGCACTTGTTAAACAGTTCAAAGAATGATGAAGAGACTTCTAGAAAATTTTTTTGCAATACTCCAACAGGAATATTGTCTGGACCACATGCTGTAGAAGAATAAAGTGAGAAATGTCTTTAACAACAAAAGTAGGATTTGGATGAATTTAAGGAAAAGTTCTTTCGAAATAGCTCTTCCTTAACTTTAGAAGTGGTAATAATATCAGACACATGTATAAGAAATGGAATTTTAGACTTTTTTTTGTTAATGAGAATGGACCTTAAGCCAGCAGAGTTGGTGGAACTAGAACCAAGCCATTCAATTTTATAGCATTTAAGTCAACACTAGCAACAATATTGGCTGAGGTCTAATGAGAAAGGCCTAAGTCAATTTTACAAGAAACAACATAAAAAAAAGTGTGAAAAGTGTCTTAGGAAGAATAAGAATGATAGAGAATAAAAAGAAAATTGAGTAAAGAGGTGCTAAGCATAAAATAATAGTCAGAGGATTCAAACCTGATTTCACAACAAATAGGTGAATTGATTAAAAAGTATACGCCTAAGCCAAGCATGTGACTATTAAATTTAAAAGTCTTAAATCCTTGCAAATCAAAGGATAACAGCTATGAAAACTAAGACCTGAAGAAAAAATGGAGTAGGAAGGCAGGGTATTTTAAGTTAGAGTTAACTTGCCTAGCAAAGCAAATGTACTGGGTATTTTCCTAATCTAAGTTCAAGCTTGATGGAATTTTAAAGGTAAAAAAAATTCTTATGCAGTTTTAAAGAATTTTAAATATTTTCTAGAAATTAATTTTTATCTACAAAACAAAGTCTAAAAGAGTCCTAGTTTAAATATATAGAGCCTGTTTAATATTAAGTAAGGTTAAAATTTATAATACTAAAGTTAAAATTTATAATAGACTGATTAAACTATTAAATTAATAATTGAACTTAAATTTATGAAAAAATACCAGTTGGAGAGTCCTGTTTCAGCTCCTCTTCAACAAATTCAATGATATCATTTTCCAGCAAATGTAAACCATTTTCAAGACTGAGACTGTGATTCATTGAGTCAGCTTGATTCTGTTTCATTTTTTCAGTCAATCCATCTATAACACTATCACAGCTCAGTACTTGAGTATTAATATTTGACAAACATTGATCACATAAAGAATTATGCAAGGTTTGAAGTTCCTAAAAAATCATAATATTGAAACAGTTAAAATTAAAAAAACAGAGGAAAATAAATTACTGATAAACATAGTTTTTATTACTTACTACTTACATAGTAAGTAAAAAATTAATAATTTATCAAATACTTTAATGAAAAGAAACAAAAAAATCACTTTATTTTAATTACGAAAATTTTAAAGGGTACACTTTACAGGATAATTACAAGATGTTGAATATATATATTACTCTTCTATATACATATATTACAATGCCCTGTTAAATATATAGTAAAATATACAAACTTAAATATATAAACTAATATTAAGAAACTTACATTTCTTTATATTTATCAGATTATACTTACATTTATATTTTTACATTACATTTTTTAATTTACATAACAATGTAACAAAAACTATTTTAATGATTTTTAATTTTAACTATTAACTGGTATTTAAAACTATTTAGTTAAAAAGATTTTCTCAGTTTTTAAAACAACATTTTTAAAAATAAATCACTCATTTTTAAAGTAAACAGTTTTATTAACATAGTATTAACATAATATACATTCCAAGTGTTTTTAAAATTAATTTCAATACATGAGACAGAAATTATCAAATAAAATAGTATTATTATTGAAATATTATAATGAAGCAAGAAACATTAGTTAAATATTACTATCTTTGTGTTACAAAGTACATACATTTATATTTTTGTGATTTTCTGATATCAAATTGTCAGATAGAGTTACAAGCTCTTTGTAGCTTTTTAAAGTCATATCATGATACTTGTTACTATTCTAAAAAGATAAATTATTAAAACAACATACATAATATATATATTTATATATATATATATATATACATATATATATATATATATATATATATATATATATATATATATATATATATATATATATATATATATATATATATATAATATATATATATATATATATATATATATATATAATAAAAAACATATAAAACTACATTACAATAAGTAAAATTAAATACTTAAAAGAGACTCTTACATCTATTAAAACATTTTCAAATGAAGTCTCATTTTTTTCAAGATCATCTAATTTGGTCTTCAGAGAATTTGCACATGTCTTTAACTTTAAAGATTAATAATTTAAATTAAATACAGCTGAAAACAATAAATTTTACCAAAAAGTGTAGAAGTCAATCTGTATTATCCTTTTTTATCATTATAAAAATGCACTTACAGCATCTATATTTTCAGTTGCATATTGAAGATTTTGATAAGCTAATGTTGTAATACCATCAACTGTAGATATAGCTGTAAGATTCATGTCTTTTAATTTGCTAAAGTTATTTGTAAAATCTTAAAAATGCAACCAAAAATAAAACTAAAAAGCAAACTAAAAAAAAAATTAATAAATTAATAACCTCGAAATACTATTTTTAAAGTTTGATTCATTTTCTGTTTGACAAGATAGTTCTGAGCATATCTAAAAAAAAAAAATTTACTTAACAACATAATTTAGTTTAATATAAAATACATATGTTTATCATAGCATGTTTGTATTACACCATGGTTAAAAATTATTTTTAAGAAACAAGTTTGAGATAAGTAAAAATAAGTTTGACAGTAAATATTCGACAATGAGATTGGTATTACTTTTTTATAAACCTGAACTGAAATAAAATTATTATTACTAAAAAAACTTTGACTAATTATTTTCTGCAGAACTGGAGAATAACTTTTTTTTAACTATTTTTGGAAACTTTTCAAACAAAAATTTTAAATTTATATACAACAACTTTATTTTTAATGTTTTAGGTCATCAAATCTGTAAGAGTTCTTTGTATAACAAATACTTGAGCTAATTTATAGAATATATTCAGTATATATTTTTGTACTCTTTAAAAAAAAAATATTTGTTTGTATTTTATCTAGGTTATGTAATACAAAAAAGAATAAACAATAGTTGTTAAGATGGTATTGACAAATATTAACTTCTTTGAGATTTTTTTGTTTTTATGGTTATATATAAAAAAACCAAATAAAAAACAATAAAAATGTTTCTAAATTACATTTAAAGTTTTTTTTACATGAGAATAATAGGTTTCTATCTGTTTTAATTTAATAATTAATAATAAAAACAAACTACAAAGAAAAGAAGAAGTAAATAACTTCATGTAGAAATTAATTAGTTTTTCTTTTCTATAGGAAATTGATTACTTCTGCTCTTCAGAAAATGAAGAAAATTTTCTACAAATATTTGATTACTACTTTTTCTCTACAGAAAATTATCATAAGCAATATCCTGTAAAAAAGACAACAAATTTACAGGATATTGATTATAGATCTTCCATAAATTACACAATGCTAAATTTATTTAAAAAACAGAAGTAGATCTCAAGCTTATATATGCAGCAATTTTCATTAAACTTAATACACTATTTTGATTTTTCATTTAACTTAAGACACTGTGAGGGAAAAATTTTGACCTTTTGTTTGGTTTATTAGTTAAATTTAGTGTTGCATAATTTATGGACGATCCCTCATCACTAATTGCCTTCACTATGGCTTAGGAGTAAAATATTCTAATTATATAACAAATTAAATTTAAAGTTTACATCTTTTTTATTTCAGTATTTATCTAATATATAAACAGTTTTTTGTGGCAATATGTTAAAAAATATATATATATATATATCGTTCTCTTTTTACTGATGGTGTAGGTAAGCAAATATTTTACAAATGATGTGATACTAAAATAAGGATAGATAACAGAAAGTTTATGTATATTTACAAAATTGGAATTGAGGTGTGAAAAAAAAAAAAAAAAAAAAAAAATTTTTTTTTTTTCATACCAATTATTTTTTTAAAATAATTTATAACTTGAACAAAAGCTAAAATTTATTCTTGTTTTAAATAAAAATCAATTTTTTTATTTAAAACAAAATTTAACTTCAAAAAAAATTAAACTTTATTTTACTGTTTTGCATTGCAGTTGATTTATAATGGCATTGCTCTTTATATTTATATTTTGTTGCTGCAAATATTATAACTTCTTTATAAATTTTTTTGTGATGCATTTTTTTCAAGATTTTTTTTTTAATTTTATTTGTCATAAAAATTAGCCATAAACATCATTAAAACATTAATTTTAATATAATATACAATATTAAAATATTATTAGCAAAGCGTTAATACAAAATTAAGTCTACCATTTGTGTGTCTTCTTGAAGTTGAGTTTGCTGTGTTTGGAATAAGTTAGAGAAATTTTTTTCCACAACATCAAGTATAGATGCTTGTAAACTTTTGATAAAACCATCTTTGAGCTCCTTAAATATAAAAATGGATGATGATTGATTGATTGATGAGTTTTAAACAAAGTTTTATAACATTTTTGTATAGGAATATAAAGTAACCTTTTGCATTTTATCTTGATTCTGCACAGTTTTTTCTACATATGAATTAACTTTTTCAATTGCTTCTTTCTATGTGAAAAAAAAAGGAAACTAATTTTATATCTATCTGCCTATTTATCTATCTATCTATATACATACATACATACATACATACATACATACATACATACATACATACATACATACATACATACATACATACATACATACATACATAAACAATTGGTGTGTTCTAAGTTTAATTTACACTATAGGTGCAACAATTTTCTCAAACATATTATTTAAACTGTTTAATTTTTAAAAATTATATATAAAAGCTGTTAGTCTGGAAAATAAAATAAGTTAATAAGTCTGACAATAGGATGACAAATTTAGGATTTAAAATACTGTTTAACTTATGTTATGCAGAAAAGCATAATTAAAAAATGTTTCAATTATTACCAATAGTTAGAACTCAATCTTTAAAAGAAGTATTAGTAAAATTGTTTTTTTTTTTTTATTACAAAACGAAAGAACTGCAATTAAAACATTCATTCAAAGCTAGTAAAATAATTGGTCGCTCTCCTGCTTAGAGATTTGTCATCAAAATATACCAAAATTATGGAATCGAAAATATTTTTTCCTGGAAGAGAAAGATCAATGTTTAAATGTCATTTCTTCTTTGTTTAATAATAAAAACACTTACATAAATGCACTAAAACTTATAAGTTAATTTACAAAGTTTTAACCAATGTTACACAATTCAAAATTAAAATGTGTTTTAACTTGGCATCTTAATTCAAACTTTAAATGTAAAAAGCTAAAGTTTAATTTTAATAAGCATATATTAATAAAAAATTTTTAGTTTTTTGACGAAACTTTAGGAAAATTATAACTTAATTGCGTTTTTTTTTAATCGTTTTACATGAAAAATTGCAAAAGTTCTTTCATTCATTTCTTGAAATTTTCTTTATAAAAAAAGTGAAATATTTGACCAACTATAAATTGAATATGGCAGCTCCATTTTTAAATTAAAATAAATCAGATTATGCAATTAAATTTTAAATGAAAATAATATTTTATAATGATGCATTTTTTATTATATGATGTTAGAAAGTACAAATACTTTCAGGTAAATACATATATTTGTATTTGAATTTGTATTTAGAAATATAGAATGTATTTGCATTTGATCAAATGTACTTTTACTTCCCTGACTATTATTAGACTACTCTTTTTTTCTTATTTTTATTTAAGTTTCAACCCTATAACAATAAAAATACAAATCTAAACAAAAAAACCCTTACAGAGAGTATAAAACTCCTAGAGAGTTTCACTATACTACATTTAACTTATAACCCAATATAAAAAGTGAGAAAAACATCAAAAAAGATATTAGTTTAAAACATTAGAAATCTAATTTATTTAAAAAAAAAACAACAGTTTAGGCTGTTTTATAAAATATTTTTTTAAGTTTCATAATACAACAAAGAAAATATGCAAGTGCATCAAATAAACAGATAGCTAAGAAGATAATACCACAGTCAACAGTAAAATAAAATTAAACAATTCTTAGACTACATTTTAATTATACATCATTTTAATAAAAACAAATGCAATAACCTGACAACATATATGCTCATCAACTGTTTGACCAAGATCTCTAAGTTCAACAGTTTGTTTTTCAATGAAACCTTTTGTTGTTTCACAAAAATGCTCTGTCTAACAGAAAATAAAATCCATTACAATAAAAAACAACAGGAATTTAAATATGGTTTACTATACTATAATTGTGGTGATCATTGATACCATATTATACTACAGAGTACTGTGTATATTATACTTTTAGGTTTTGATAAGAACACTTAAAGAATAAGTGCTCGAAATAAACTTTTCCCTTTAATTTTTTTTTTCAAGGTTTTGCTTTTAATCATATAAAGTAATCGTTAAACTTTAAACCGTTAAACTATGATTTTACACAATGATATAAAGTGTAATTGAAAAAAAAAAGTAATTCTATCTATTTTTAATCTCTTCGAATCATTTAATATTCCTTTTTTTTAATGTTTATTTAGCCTATCATTACTTTTACAGTTCAAATTTAAGATCAGAATCTTAAAATTAAATCTTGACTATAAAACCAATAATCTCAAAACTTTTTCATACATAAGTATATTGTACTGTTTCATACTTATGACTGTTTCTAATACCTTCAGAATCATATATAAAAATGTAAAAATATATTAAAAAAAAAAAAGGTTTTTATAATAATTATTTTTTTAGAAACAATAATCACCAAAACTATAGTGCAAACAATAATCAACATAACTATGGTGCAAACATACCTTTGCATACATAAACAAGACATACCATTGCATTAACTGAGTTTACAAGTCTTTCATCGCATTCTTGCATTCGTAAAATACACTCATGAAACTCTTTTAAAGCATTAGTAAAAATTTCTTTATGATAATTATTAATAGCTTGTAGTGTTTCATTCTGAAAAAATAACATAAAAGCAACATAAAAGCAACATAAAAATTGCAAGAAATAAAAAAATTAACTGAAACATCTATAAATTAAATTAAAAAAATACTTTGCAGGTTTCAACATTATGAGAAAATAATAGATCTTTTTTAGTACACTCTGATTTGATCTCATTCTGCTTTGTTCTTGCAATTTCAAGGCACTTATAAATCTCTTCAACAGATATGTTTATTATTTTGCTCAATTGATTGTAAGATGAGGCTTTCTCAGATTTAAAATTATCTAAACAAAATTAAATTAAAATAGGCATAAACTTTGACAAAATACAAATTTATTTACTAAATAGAAAAATTTATAAAGCACAATAGTTGTGGCACCATTAAAAAATTAATGGTAAGATATTGTTTAAATGTTGGTGGCAAATTACATAGGAGAACATCTACAATTTTCAGGTTATAATATTTTCCAGCCCTTGAAACAAAGTTTTAAAGATGATAAATCTTTTTTTTTTGACAAACATTAGTCTCTCAAAATTTATCATTAAAAAAAAAAATTTTTTTTCCCCATATCTTTTTTACATAAAATGTCATTTATTGTAAAATAAATATTCAATAGTAAACTAGAAAACAAAAATGGTAAAATGCAGGATTTGTTTTTAAACTTTTAGGCAAATATCTACGTTTTGAGATGAACAAGTCTGCAAACTTGACATTTGTTTTTCTGTCAATTTTAAGTTAAATGTTAATGTTTGTTGATTTGTTGAGCCCTGTAATGGTTAATATAGTTTAGCAAGTTAATAAGGTTTAACTTTTTTTATTTTTGATTGAACAAGTGTAAACTGTAAACATTAATTTTCTATTGAAAAAAAAATTATTACATACATTCGCATTAGTAGACAGTAAAAAATATATATTTTTATAGAAAGTAAATAAAAAAAATGCAAAAATAACAATAACAACTTTTACAACTTATACATTTCATTAAAACACGCACACACATTTAACCCTCAGAATTAGGGTTGGTATTCAGCAATACCAACCTGGAAGTATTTTGAGTGGAAAAAAATTGCAGACCTCGTTTTTATATTTTATGGTAAAACCTTTGTACCAATTTTTTTTTGCCCACCTGATGCCAACCTCTAACAGTTTAAGGTCGGCAAAATATTGCCGACCTTAAACTGTTAAACTTATATAAATATATTATAAACAAACTTATATATATATAAGTGTGTGTATATAAGTGTGTGTATATATATATATATATATATATATATATATATATATATATATATATATATATATATATATATATATATATATATATATATATATATATATCAGGGCTCGAATTAAGTGATTGCGAATTGCGATATATGGAAATGCTTCCTGTCTTTAAAATTTTAGCTTTTAAAAAACCGTAAAAATGTTTTATCACTAAACTTAATATATATCATTTAATAGAATATTTACGTCAATTATGATATAAAATCTTAATGTAAAACCATATTATCACTATTATTTTTACTATTATTAAAGATTATAAATTAAACTTTAATATTTTAATTTATTTTATAAAACATCAGATAAAACTAGAAAAATAAAAGCACGATAAAGTACGATATAAATATTTAAAAAAATAAGCGCTAATCAAAACAATCTTAAGGACTTTAACAGTGATCGAATATTTTAAATAAAAGAAATCGTTAATTAAGATATAAAATACTTTTATATGTTATTTAAATTTCATTCAATATTTTCTTATAAATTTAATGCTTGTAACACTTTAGCTGATACGAATAAAAAATTAAGGAGTTAATATATAAAAACTTAAAAAAAATATATTTTATTATTTTTTTCTTATTAAATAATTAAATTCTAATTTAAAACATTTAAATTTTTAAGTAAATAATTCCATAAACTTTCCCCCTAAATAAAAATCTATTTTAATGTTTTATATAATGCGCAAGTAGCTTTAGCATACTTTTTTATTGGTTGCTTTTTTCTACAAAGTTTTATACAAACCGCAAATAGCTTAAGCATAGTTATTATTATTATAATTAATTAGTTAATTTTTAAATTACCGCAAAAGTTTTTCGGACCTTTAGTAATAATAATTTTTGTCTTGCAACTTTTTTTTATTTATATCCTTAAGTTACATATTATTAATAATTTTTTAAAAAAACAATAACTAATAATATGTAAATTTTGACTGTTATTATTTTTGCAGTAGTAAATTTATTGTTTTGCTTTTTCATTAATTTTTGCAATACGATAAACTGATCGTTTCATTAAAACAGTGTTTACAGTTTTTAAAAAAACTAAGAATTTAATGACCACAGATATTTCCGGATATTGCAATTCGAGATCACTTAATTCGAGCTCTGTATATATATTTACATTATTTACAGGCCTCGCCAGGAATGGCGAGCAATCATCTATCCCCACCTTCACACCCATTTGCTAGTTTACACTGGCAAAATAAATAATGATATTTTTTTTTTTATTCCAAAATTTATGAATTTTTTTTTTTAATTTAATTGTTTACTTAGATAATTTACTTACATAAACAAAAATAGTAAAAACATGTAATACATTTTAAATGAAATATTCCTTAATAAAGTATTATGTAATTATGCAATTATAAATTAAAAAAAACAAAAATAATGTCTATTCATAATTACGTTTTGTAAAAAAGTAATGTTTTGACATTATTTTAAAATAAACTTGATAAGTTCAAATGAAAAGTCTAAGAATGTCATTGAAATGCTATAAAAAAAAAAAAAAAAAAAAAAAAAGAACTATAGAGCTTAAACAGTTTTTAAAAAGCAATTTAAATTTTTAGTTTTATATTTTCAATTAAAAACAAAATTTAAAAATAAAATATAAAATTTAACCTTGGCAAACTATTCCAAAAACAAAATAATTTTTTAATATGCAATACTTGAATAGTTGGGATATTAACTAAGTATGTAAAATACAACTTAATTTGAAGCAAAAATAATAGATACACGCATATATAATAACCAAGAATTTTTTTTCACAGACAGTTATAAAATTTTGTTTGTTTAAATTTGAATTTTTAAGCAAATTTTAAAAATATCAAACACATTCATTCAAGTTTTAATTACAAGTAAAATTTGAATGAATGAGTTCGATACGATAACCTTTTATTATAATTACTCTCTAGCTTGGAGCTAATTCAGTTCAATTTTTGAACTTTTTCAATTAGAAAAAAAAAAAAAAAATTCATTTCAAAATAACTATTTCCCGAAGAAAAGAAGTGATAAATGAACTTTTGTATACAAAAATAGGAAGAAACACAAAATAAAAATAATAATCAATTTTTGTAATGAAAAAGTAATCTAAATAGATACTGAAAGAGTAAGAAAAAACAGTTAAAAAGAATAAAGCGTCACCAGCCAAGTCTGTTTTAGATTTAATTTTTTATGAGTGCTTATGTACTCATGTAAATTTAAAACAAATGGTTTTAGTGTGAATGAGTGCATAAACAGCATTTCACTGCGTGTGCACTCATTTAATTCTGCTGAGGCCTTTATATATGTGTGTGTGTGTATATATATATATATATATATATATATATATATATATATATATATATATATATATATATATATATATATATGTATATATATATAGGCCTCCGCAGTGAGCTCTCGCCCACACTTCCCTAAAACGGTTTACAGGAGCAATTTACAACTCTCACAAAAAGTTTTTTTTCTTGAAAAGTTTAATCATCATTGTAACTAAAATGAAAAATGTAAATTCAAAAAAATTTAACTTCTAAAGAATTTTGTCATGATGCAATAAATGATGCATGCTATGTGTATATTATTGTATCATTAAAGTTACAAACATAAGCTTGTAATAATTATAAAACCAAATTTTGTATTTAATGAGCAATTTTATTTAAACAAACAGATAGCTTGTGTAAAAACTAAAAGCTCTCGTAAAAAGCAGTTTAGAGGAGCAGCTCGCATGGTTCCCATGTTTGTTTTAGGAGAGCTTTTATCTGCTCTTGTACTCATTTACTCCTGCCGAGGCCTATATATATATATATATATTATATATATATATATATATATATATATATATATATATATATATATATATATATATATATATATATATATATATATATATATATATATATATATACATACATATATATATATATATATATATTATATATATATATATATATATATGCACATAGATATACATATGCACATAGATATACATATATACATATAAAAGTTTAAAGGAATTTTTATTAAAATAGACAACTAAAAAAAAAAAATTAAAAAAAATAAAAAAATAAAAATCATTTAAAAGCTTTAAAAAAGATACTAGAAAAGGTCAAAGTTTCAAAGTTATGTATTCTCGACATGCTAAGATTCATTATTATTATTTTTTATTACTATGAACAAACATTTATTAAAAAGAGTAAAAGTTTCTTTGTAAAGAAAAAACCTCATTTACTAAACAAAGAAGAAAATGATTTTTAAAAAAGAATTTACAATGCTATGAATTTAATAAATTTGTTTAATAAATTTAATAAATTTAAACATTTAATTAAAAGTTATTCATCATAAAAAAATAAATACTTTTTAAACAAAAAACAAGTTATATTATATATAATATTCTTCGAAAGTTTAAATTAAGATTTTGATAAAACAATAAAAATTGATTGTTACTTTATTTATAAGAGTTTTGCATAATATAAAATTGTTAGAAAAAATCAAAGTTTTGAAGTTGTATATTAATGATGATAATAAACAAACTATTATTAATGATGATAATAAACAAAACAAACTCAGCCTTAATTGAAATATAAAATTAATATCAGTAATACTTACTAAGTTCAGTGACAATATCTTGATGATACGCAAAACTAGAATGTCTTCCATTTATTATGCTTTCATTCAAGCTAGAAACTTTTGCATGAGCATTTTCTTTGAACTTCTGACTGCTCAATAGGTTTACAACATGTAAATTTTTGTTACGATCCAATGAGGAATGCAAAATATTTTTGTGATTTATTGTTTCTTCAACTGTATCGAGCAGTTCACTAGCTTGATTGAAGAGTTGCTGCTCTGTTTCTACATGCTTTGACACAAGTACTTTTGTTTCATCTCGCTCCTGCTTTATCCATTGTAAATGCTGAGTAGTTTTTTCTAATTTTTGTTGCATTGATGCAAAAAGTTGTTCTGTTTTTTTCATTTCTTCTTCCATAAATTGTATTTTTTCAACATATTCACGCAAACTTGATTTTTGGGATGATAATTGATTTTGCATTAAACTAAACAATGTTAAGCCAAATAAAATAATTGAATTAAAACCATTTGTCTATAAATAAGTCTCATCAAAAAACAATTAAAAACATTTAACTATTAAAATCTATTTTAATTGCTTGTAAACTTTTTTCACAGCTTACTTGCATTAAACTAATGTAAAACTTGCAAAAACTAAAATTTTATTAGAAAAAATTGTATAAAAAACTTTGTAAAAGAATTACATATAATTATCTTCTGCAATAAAAATTCCATTTTTTTCTCGGGCAGCAAATAAATCTTTTTTAAGCTTCTCAATTTCCTCTGTATATTCCTAAATGAAACATAAAAATTTTAATTCCCTCTTTTCTTTATTTTCTATCAAAATTTTTATTTTAATGACAATGGTTCATTCATTTGAACTCATTTAATTTATACAGACACTGAACTATTGTATAATTCTTAAAAAACATCTTTTACCTTTATTAGTGCCTTCTTTGTTAGCTTCTGGTTTATTTCAGGTTTATTTGTAATATTTTTTGCTCTTTGAGCATAGTCAAGAGTGCTCAAGGTTTCCTTAATAATAATAAAAAATTACAATTAACAATTAGTATTGCATAATCTAGAAGAAATATATATACATTTTAAAATTAAACCAATATCTATTGTGAATGAAAAATATTATTCAATATTATTACCTATTATGATAATTATCCTAATAACCATTATTGCTGAATATTATTATCAGCATGGGCTTAAATTTTTTTTTTATATTAACCAACATTTTATTGTTCTAAATGGTGTAGTTGTAGTCCACAAAAATAATTATAAACCAAAAAAAAAAAAAAAAAAAAAAAAATTATTCAGCCTTTTCAGAATATGTAAATAAGGATTTCAAAGCTTTGTAATGCAAGTGGTTTTAGCCAAAAAAAGTGTTAATTTTATTGATGGTTGGATTTAAACTTTTTGATTTGTTAAATTTTAGGGTTTTCTCAGTTCTATTCTCTATTATATTAAATAGTGTTTTTAAGTCTTTTTGGCATATTCAAGAACACTATGAACATGATTTAAAAGTAATGTTTACCTCTAAATTACAAGCTGCAGGTGATATTGTAGCAATAATTGATGTTTTGGTTCTTCCTCCTAAAGAGTCTTTTAGAAGACGAGTTAACTTACTTTCTCTATAGGGGACATGAGGAGCATTTTCCACCAATGCAGTTATAACACGACCAAGAGTTAGTAAACTTTGATTTATTGTTCCTAAATCAAATTTCATTAAAATGTTTTATCATGTAAATACAATATAAAAATGTTTTATTATGCATACAAAATAAAAAAATGTTATACACTCAATATCAGTCAAATATTATACCAAAAAAAAAAAAAAATCAGCATCAGATTTGCTGTCGCAATTATGTTTAATGCTATCTGTTTTTGTATTTATTGTTTTAGATATTGTGCATGTAAGTCTCTATCAAAAACATTAAGGTGTACGCATTCATTCATTAAACTATGTTTATATTTATTGATGATATTTTATGGAATCGTAAATTATAATTAGACATAATGCAAACTCTAGAAAAAGCAATTATTAATGCCTTTTCATTTCTGTACATGCAATAGCCACAAAACAAAAAGAATCACAATGAAATAAGTTTCATATTTTTTAATGAAACTGTATACATTAGTGAACAGTTTCATCAAACAATATAATGAAACTAATTCCATCAAAATCTACTGAATACAGTTTTATTAAACAAAATGAAACTAATTTTAACAGCCGCAAATCATGGAAGACATGTATAACATCAAAAGGTAAAGAAAAATCTAATTTTTTGAATAGCAAATAATACTAAGTATGCAAAATCATAGAATAAATGGATCAATTCCTTGATTTAAATGCAATCAATCTTCTTTTGAATAAACCTGGTCATAAAGGTAGAAAAAAGTGTTCAACTTATGAAGAAACATTCTAAAATAGTTTAAACAATTGGTTCTTAAAAAACTCATCAAGAGAATGCAAATCATTACAAAGTATTGCATAGAGGTAACATAATGACCTATGAAAGGTCATTATGTTACCTGCAGACCAAGTCACAGGGAATAAAAGGGTTAAAAAAACACATACGCAGTATTTTGTTTTCACACACAATTATCACATCAAATGTAATATTTTTTCACTCAACACTAGAAATAAAATATTACTTTCAGTTTCTAGGAAACTTAAATAAACTACTAAAAAACAAATGTTACTTTTTAAATTTATATATCTTCGGTATATTTATTAAAACTATATATTTGTATAGTACCTAAACTAGATTTTTTTTAAGTAAATAAAAGATAAGTAAGACATACAAAGCCCAGTAATACCATTTTGTTTAACTAGTATGATTTTTATCAAAATATTATATATTTTACTTTTTCTTGTTTATAGGATCTATATTTACTTAGACTTTTTATATTAGTTTTATGATCTTAAAACTGCACAAATAAAAAAAAAAAAACCTGCTTCTCTGGCTCTTTTTTCAACTGCGCCAGATCTTCCAATATTCTCACTACCAGCCAAATCAACCTTGAAAAAAAATATATCAATAATCATATTTCTAAAATAATCTAATGCTTATTTTATAAACAAAAAATACTTTTTTTAATTAAGTGGAAAAATCTACCCCCTCCCCCCGGGCAGGAAGGGGGATGATAGGTGGGGAGGAGTGTATTGCAGCCCAAACTTTTTCTTTAGAATAGCCCTAGAATAGTTGGGGTACAGTAATGCAAGTGGCACAGCGAATAAGATTCAAAGATTAGAACTTGGTTCATTTTAATAATGTAATCATTTTATGTGCTCATATTAACCACCTTTATTTATAGTTATTACCGCATAATTTTGGACTACCAGATTTTGGCAAGTAATTTTTGATTTTAGCTAACTAGATTAAATTTTCTTACCTTTCCTATGTTTGTTATGGAGATCATGGTTGAAATAATTTAAAAAGTTGAAATCATTTAAAGATTAAATTTATTTTTAACAAACAAACTACATGAAAATGAATTATTAGTTTCAAATTATAGATACTATTTACTTGAATAAGTTTTAAATTTTTTTTTATTCTTAATTTTCAAAATGTCTATTTTTTCGATTTTATAATAATCTAATTAATAAAAGTATGCTTAAAGTACAGTCTTTACTCCCTCAACCTCAAAATTATTTGGCTATGTCCCTATTCACTATCTTTAATTAACGGCTGTGTTTATTTATTCACTCTGCCCAGTACTGGGACACAGTGAATCCTGTAACACAACTCACTTTAAACTTAGTCTTCTTACCATCATAAGCAAGGTTTTTGTGTTTTCAATTAACAAACAATTAATCTCTCATCTTGAATCTAATAACTTACTTTGTAGTCATCAATATGGATTTCAATATCTTCTTATTCTACAGCTGATTTGCTAATAGTAATAAAAATTCTATTCTTTATCTCTAACTCTAGATCCTATTCTTTATCCCTATAAATTTCAAATGAGTCCTTGCATGAAATACTGTTGCCATATCTAGGGCAGATCTTCCAATGATGCCCTTTCTCTTTTAAACAAAGTGCAAAAACGCATTATAAATATAGTTGGACCTGCTCTTGCAGCCAACCTCCAACCATTATCACATCGTCATGTTTCTTCTCTTTCTCATTTCTATAAATACTATAATGGGCACTGCTCTATAGCTAGCGTCTAAACTGCTCTAAAGCTAGCGTCTTTTGTGCCATCTACTAAAAGTTATTCTTGTGTTACTCATCGTTTAATTCAGTCTCATCTTTTTACTGTGATTTTTCCTTAGTGCCCCAAAAATTCTTATTCGCATAGTTTTTTTCCTTAAATATCAGATCTTTGGAATTCGCTTCCTTTATATTGTTTTTTTTTCATATAATTTGCAATCTTTCAAGTCCTCTGTCAATCATTATCTTGCTCTATAATCTTCAAACTTTTCACTTCCAGTAATTTCCAACTCTAACAGTGGTTGCTTGCATCCTTGTTAGAAGTGAAGATGTTAAGAAAAAAAAATATATATATATCTTTTATTGTAAAAAAAAGTAGTTATTTTTGACTTCAACAATTGTAATCAGTAAAAAAAAAATAATAATTTGCCGGTTAGTGTAATGCCCGTTAGGCAAACTATATATTGTTTAGGTTATTGTAATCTATTAGGTAAACTATATATTGTTGTTCAGTAAATTAAAAAAAATAAATATATTTTTACAGCTGCCACTTGACAAGAAAATTTGATGTAACCTTCATGTGTTATTAAATGATAGCCACACTTGATCAAAGAGATGACAAATGTGGGTCATGTGTGGCTATGGTATTTATACCACTTGTGTGGAAGCCACATATGGCTCACCTGCGATTATAACACTTATACCAGATTATATAAATACTAGAGATATCACGAATAGTGATTTTTGCCAAATACTGAATATTGCGCTAAGCGCAAAGCACCAAATATTTGGCAATAATTAGTTATTTTGAGGGTTACAACCTGCTTCATTTAAATGCATTTTAATAAACTGTGGACATTTTTTGTTTCATTTGTTTTACTTTATTGTGTCACAGCACATATTATTTGTTGACTGTTACATAAAATTCAACTAATGTAATGTATAAAAGTAATACTCTTCAAACAACTTAAAAAGATTTTAAAAATAACCAGCTCAGGTATATCTTGCATTTCTTTGTTAATTATAGAAGATGCTATAAACATGAAAAAGATTGTGATGATTGACACACATCACAATTTTTTCAGTGACATGTTTATCCTTCTCAGTGAAAGGCTGCTTGACACCGATGAACCATCAGTGGCAGTCTAGTAGCACTGATAATGATTTATCTCCACTTCATAAGTAAAAAGAAAAGGCAGAGTAGTTTAGAACATTCGGCTGAATACCAAATAGTAAAAAAAAGTAGCCTATTTATCAGAACACTGAATAATCACATAATATTTATGGCATCTCTGATAAATACCATAGCCATATATGGTTCAAATCTACACCATTCCATAAAAATCAAGCACGGTTATCACATGCGGCATGCATCAAATTTTCTTGTCAGGTGACTTCAAAAATCAGCACAAAAATAAAACCTTACAAGTTTATATTTTAAGCAAAATTGTATTAATTTGTCAATTTTAAAACAACAAAGTTAATTTATGTGTTTAATATTTGTATTAACATTTAAATAAACATTAAAAACATAATCCGTTAACTCTGAAGATTACTAGACATAAGAAAAAAAAAAGAAAATTAAGAACACACACAACCAAGAATGCCATTTTTTTAATCATAGTTAATATAATCTGTTTAACGAACAACAACCTTGAAAAGAATCTACAAATATATATCAACAATTATTTATTTATATTAAACAATAATATTAAAAGTTATAACTAATTTAAAATAATAAAACAGTTTTTACCAAGTTTAATTTTCCTGTTTTCAAAAACTCTTCACCATTAATATTATTTTCTTTCATGTGTATTGTCACCATAAACAGAGAATGCGAACGACTATTTAAAAATTAAATTATTTAACTCCTAAAACTCAATAAATACTTTGCTGAAAGTAAATCATGATTGTACTATTATGTATGTATGTATGAATGTATGTATGTATGTATGTATCTATGCATGTATTTATGTATGTATGTATGTATGTATCTATGCATGTATTTATGTATGTATGTATGTATGTATGTATGTATGTATGTATGTATGTATGTATGTATGTATGTATGTATGTATGTATGTATGTATGTATATATGTATGAATGCATGTATGCATGTAAGTATGTATCAACATTAAAACAACTCATGTGAATTAAAATAAGGATAAAATAAATTTTCAATAACCAATCATTGACACTGTGTAAATAAATTATTTCAAAGTAATGTATGAAACAATGTGCACTACATAGAGACATGTATTTTTGATAACACATTTTTTAACCATTAAACGAAAGCTTTTTTTTAAATACAAAATTATTAGGAGACCAACATTCGCTCAATGTGTTGCCCTGTCTTCCTGTGGGAGACTAACATTAGCTCTGATTGGTTGCCCTTCTTGGTAACCAACCAACCAAAATATATATATATATATATATATATATACATATTTTTGGTTGGTTGAGCTAATGTTGGTCTCCTAATAATTTTATTATATTAAGTAACAACTTACTATTAATGATTGTTCATTAAGAAAACAAATGTTTTTCGATTTATCAAAGAGTATATATAATTTTTGTTTATATACTTGTGTCTTATGTTTCATATACTTGTGTCCAGTGCTAATTTGAGGAAGTAGGGGGGGGGGGAATGAGAAGGGCTATAACCTTGGGACTCACAATGTTAGGGGGCGCGAAATAGTCAAGTGGACCATTTAGTATTTTTTTTAGTCATGTTTACGCTGTGGCACATAAAAAAGGTCACCTAAACAATGCAGCACCCAGCCCTGAAAAGTCCAACAAGATTCCACCAATAAAACTAACGCTAGATGATTTATTTATAAATAAAAAAGTTTTTTCAACTGTTTTATGCTTTGCGTAGTTTGAAAAGTTTAACACATTTGACAAAATTTTTCTTGGTAAGATAAACAAATGAAATAATTAAATCATTGAGATACTGTAGAATTATATTTTTATTAAGACACATACCTTGCAAAGGACATTGTGAAGGTTGCCGGCATTTACATGTTGGGAAAAATTGTGTTGGAAACATTAGATGAAACTTTTTTATTAGGTGAATTAATAACATTGGTGATGTTTGGAAGACAGCTATAACTGACTTTTAAATTATTCCTTTTGAAAAAAAAATTTATTTTCATATTTTAAAAATACAGAAAAATAAGTAAAAACACTTTCAAGAAATATCCAGAAAAAAAATGGAAATAAATATGCATTTTATATAACTATCTTGTGTTTGAAAAGAAATCCATTATTTGAATGCAAGTACAAATAATGCGCACATACACATAACATTATTATTTGGACAGGACAAATGTTTAAATATTTTAACTTTTCAACTAAGGAAATCAGTGGCATAGTGTTCAAGGCTTGAATTAAGCATATCACGATTGCTTTTCACACCATTTTTTATATATATATATATTTTTTTTCTTTTCTAATTTAGTTTTTTTGGCTATTTTTAAAAACATAAAATGTTTTTCCCTGAGGTTTTTATTAGGGGTCATCCAGAAAGAACGTCACTTTAAATCCAACTTTTAAATCAAAGTATGATAATTTGCTCTCTGACGAAGAGACTTTCATTCAACATGTATTACTGTTCTAATAAATTTAAATCAAACAAACAATCCCTTAAAGAAAATAGAAACATAAAGTGCTTTTAAATTTTAATAACTTCAAATCTTTGGGTGGAAGCTAATAATATCTAAAATCCTGTTTTAAAGTTAAAATTAATGTGGAGTGAAATTTATTTATTAAATTAATGATAAAATAAATTGCAAGTAAATTTTCCTCTGAACAAAACATTAAAGTTACTCAAGTTACTTTATTATTAAATATACTTAATCTCGAATAAATATACTTAAGATCGAAGAAATTTGCTTGCAGAAGCTAGCCATACAAATATTTCTATTTCTATTTTATATATTGTTAACACATAATAAGCTTTTAAGCACATACTAACTAAAAACTATTTTTAACAAGAAATTTCAAATAAAATATGAAAAACACAAAACTATTTTTTTATATTTTCCATTTATTTGCAGCAATATCAAGATAAAACTTTTTCTATTTAATAAGAGGCTTGGTCGATAAACGGGTGCGATCGCACTCAATAACTGACCACGAAAATAATATTTAGTTATATTTAAAATCTTGCCGAAAAACCGGCCAGATTTTTTAGTCGCTTTGAGAACATTTAAGTTTAAATATGTTTCTTTGTTTATCCGCAAAATAATAATTAAGTTTGCTATTTTATCGTAAACTTTAAAATATTTTGTTTTACGGACATACATGGAAACATACATAAACTTAAATATTCTCAAACATCTTTGTACGGAAAAATAAAAAAAGAATATTTGCGAACACAAAAAACACGCTAAATCTATGAACTAATTTTATTGGTTTAAAAAATACTAATCAAAATTTCTAGAGTATTCAAAAAATACTAGCCAAATGATTTAGATTATTCTGTTAAATTTTTTAATAAATTGTATTATTAAGATTTCTAGCATGAATTGTTTTAAGAATATACCATCAATTCAACTATTATTTTAAATCTCAGAGCCAGAGTTCTTAGAAATTCGTTTAATAACTTCAATTATTTTTGCTTCAGCCATTCTTACAAACTCATTATACTTAAACTTAAAGTTACTTTTTTCTGTTTTAAATACTAATTAAAATTATAAAGCCCACTCACTAAACATCATCAGCGGTATTGTGAAGCAGTTTTGCTTCCCCTTTACAAAGTAATTTAACGTTTTTAGTTAATTTCTATCTAGCTAATTGAAGTTCTCCAGTAACTCAATGATTTAATTATGTTCATTTGTTCATCTTACTAAGAAGAATTGTTTCAAATGTGAGACATAAGTATAAAAATAAAAATTATATATACTCTTTGATAAATCGAAGAACATTTGTTTCCTTATTAAACAATCATTAATAGTAAGTTGTTACTTTATATAAAAAATGTCGCTTAATTTTATTTAAAAAATTATAAAAGAGCGACGTTTCAAAAATATTTGTTATAATCGAATTTATTTTGCTTAAATTTTTTTCATGTTAAAAGCTATTTTTCTTTTTTTAACTGTCTCTTATCTGTCCAGTTAATCTTATTGCACTTTTTGTGTTTGTTTTTGAAATGTTCTCAAAACGACTAAAAAATCTGGCCAGTTTTTTGCAACTAAATATTATTTCATTGGTCAATTATCAAGTGTGATCGCACTCGCTTCCCGACCAAGCCTGAAATACGCATATATTTTTAGGAATTTATTTTAAAAGGAAATCTATTCAAACAAGATAACTTTAGTCTTCTAAAATTCTCTTATTCGAATAATTTTGAATTTAAAATTTTGAAAAACTTAAAAAATTTTTGTGAACTTTTTCTATATTTGTAGCAATTTATTATTGAGCTTTTTCTATATTTATAACAATTACTATGAGATATTATGTTTAAAAATAGCAATTACAAACTAATGTACAAACAATAAATTTTTGTACTAACATACCCCCTTCCCTTACTGCAAAGCGGCAGACAAGGAGGGTAAGGCGGGGGAGAATTAAAAATATTTTTTAATTCTCCCCGCCTTACTAATGTAGATTTTTTTAACGTTATTTCCAGCCCTGATGTTATAAATAGATGATAAAACAATAGAAAAAGTGCATTAATGCAAGTGTTATAGCTGTATTCACAGTAGAGAATACATACATCGATTAAGAATTAAGGTTTTAGCAGGCAGTTTTTTATATAGAAAAAGAAAAGTTCAATAATTTATTTAAATAGGGTTTATAAATTAATTTAATTTCTATTTAAAAAATTGTGCATGCAAATAATGCTTAACATATTTGAATATAATGTATAGTGAATAATATACAATACTTTTACTGTTTTAATTATTTGATGACAAGATAAAAAAATATATGTATTTCCAGAAAACTATTTGGATATCCAGAAAAAATAAAATTTTTCAAGAAACATCTGGAATTCCAGAAATATCTGGAAAAAGCTAATTTTTGAATATAAAAAACATTTCTAGTGATAAAAGTTTCGACATTATTTAATTCTAATGTATTCATTCAAAATCTTTTTTATTCAGCACACTATTAAATATAAAAAGACCTTTGTCAAATGGTCAAAATAAAATATTATTTGCATCATATTTTGTGCAATCACATGCCTTCCTGACTAAGACTGATATATACATACACACATGTGTGTGCGTGTGATAACATTTTTCAAAGGGATCCCAAACCTCCAAGACATGTTGTGCTCATTTTTATAAAAATGTTTAGGCTAACTTTTTCTGATTAAAACAAAAGAACAAACCATACCAAAAAGAACTATTATTATTATTATAACTATTATTACTTTTACTGTTTTAATTATTAGATGACAAGATAAAAAAATATATGTATTTCCAGAAAACTAAAGTTTTCTAGAAACATCTGGAATTCCAGAAATATATTCACAATACCTGCAAGCTATTTGCTGATGATAGAAAGTTAATTGAAATTTAATCAAAAACCAGAAAGATCATGAAATATTACAAGATGATCTCAATAAAATATTTGAATGGACAAAAAAAATTTTTTTATTTTTTTATTTGCATACTCCCAACAAGCTGCAAGCAACCACTATTAAGTTGGGAGTTACTAGGAAAAAAAAGAACAGAGTTATAGAGCAAGGAAACGGTTGACAGAAGACTTGAAAAGTTAAAGGTTGTATGAGTCAGGAAAACATAAAGATGGGAGAGAGTTCCAAAGGATTGAAGTGCAGGGAAAAAAACTAGATGAATAAAAGTTTTTAGAGCATGCAGGGACAGATTGGAGCATGAAATTAAATTATGAAAAACGTAAAATTATGAAATTTACAGTACCAAATCAAAAAAGTTAATTGATAAATCAATTAACTTTTTTAATTAGATAAATCAAGCTGTCCCACTATATATAACAACTCACGATGGATCAATTGAATCAAATGGATCATATGAATCAAAAAAAAATCAAATGATAATTGAATCAAATGAAACAATCAAAGAACGTGACCTAGGTATCAGCATAAGCAATAATCGGAAATGGAAAGACCACATCACAACAATAACCAATAAAGCTTACTCAAAACTAGGTACTCTAAAGAGAACATCTAAATTCTGATCAATTGACTCCTTTACTAAATTATATACAACTTATGTTAGACCTGATATAGAGTTTTGTGCACCAGTTTGGAATCCATATTTGAAAAATGAAATAAAAAAACTTGAAAAAGTTCAGCAAAGAGATACAAAGCTTGTCTCAGGTCTCAACCACAATTCTTAAGAAAAACATTTATCAAGTTTAAAGTTAAAAAGTCTAGAATCCAGAAGAATTAGAGGTCCCCTCTCATCCAATATTATAAAATAAAAACAAATTTAAACAAAGTAAATTGGTGTCATCTAAATTCAAAAATATTTTCTTCAACTCTAAAAGGTCCTTCTTCTAATATCAGAGGAGAACCACACAAAGAATACAGAGAGTTTACTAAACATAGTTACCATGAAAATTTCTTCAGCAACAGAATAGTGCTAGATTGGAATAATTTACCAAATAACTTAGTAACATCAAAAACAGTTAACGAATTCAAGAAAAAAATATGATGTCTTAACAAAAAAACAAAAACAAAAAATTAACTAATTGCTACTATAGTAGGATTACAATAATCCTACTGCAAAGATTTGTAATAGCTATGCTGTAGAAATAAATAAATATTTATTAAATGTATACCAAGAAAAACTATGTTTGTTTACACAAACAAAAAAATCAATGACACCATGTACTTAAACTATTAGGAATAAAACACGCTTGAATAAATTATTAAGCCTGTAGATTACGGCCTACTTTATGCTGACTTTTTGGCTTACAACAAAATAGAGAGAGCAAGCTTCTACAAAAATAAAAAAGTTAGTTTTTCTTCGTATGCAAATATTCTTTTGTTTTAATCAAAAAAACTCAGCCCAAACAATTTTTTTTTATCATTCTCTTTAATATGAAGACAACATGTCTCGGAGGTTTGGGATCCCTTTAAGTTCAACAATTTAAAAAAAAAATTGTAAAAAAGTTGTAAAATGTTGAAAATAGTTAAATTATGAAATTTAAAACATTAATACTTAGTATCAAATACTTTATCAAAGAATTTGATACCAAATCTAGTGGTATCATTACCACAGCAAGAATAAAAGTTTCACCCAGAAAAAAAAAAAATAATTAAACAATTTTTTAAAGAAAACTGAAATCATTTGAAATATAAAAATTTAAAAACCTTGATTGAGCATTCAGTAATGTTGCAGCTGTCTGACGACGTGCCGCTCCACGTTCTAAAATATGATAAACTTCATTTCGACTATGCACTATAACTTCCTCTAAACCTTGAATCACAACTGATCCCTGATTAAAATATATAAATGTTTTGAAAAACAATTTCTGTAAAACTAAGCACAATCTTTAAAATTATATATTTATAAAATACATTGTTAGTCTAGTGATGTACAAAAAAAAACATCTAAAAGATGTATCAGTTATTATTACTTAAGTTGCATAAATCTAAAACATATTAATTTGTTTGTTTGCTTGTTTGTTTTATGTATATTTTGTTATAAAACTATTTTTACATTATAAGGTATTGTTGGCTAAATAAAAAAACAACAAATTAGCTTCTGTTATTGAACAACTATTTGCATGGAGAAGTACTACTCATGTGTTCAGAAGACTAAGATCATATTTGCAACTAGCACAACATATTTTTTTTCAACATACTTGCTAAGTTTATATGGATATCTGAATTTATTAGAGTAAATTATATAAAATATATAAAAGATTTAGTTTGAATATTTGTTTTAAAATTAAGTTTTGATAAACACGCAAAACCTAAAAAATTTAGTGTGGTTTAAAAAATCTAAAAAAAATTTAGCGCGGTTTAAAAACCTTCTGATCCAAATCTCTTTAAAAACTATATCTTTAATTAGGTTGTCCATTTTTAATGTAAGCTATAACCAGATAACAATGGAAAATATAGATTTTAATTGATTTGGTTAATATTTTATTCAGAACATAACAACACCAACAATATACCAACACATTGCCCCTAACCTCAATTCCATGCCTCACCAAATTATATTCATTATTTTCCTTTAAGTAAACTATATAATAAAATTCAATCTATTTTCAATCCGTTTTTAAAAACATTTACAGTTAGATAACTTGTTTAAATCAAACATGATGCTACAAATATAGAATGGCAAATGATGCTATAAATATACAACTTGTACAAACCAATACTCTAAGAACCCATATAAAAAGAACAACTATAAAACTTTAACTGTTAATACAAACAAAAACACCTTTTTTGTTGTATCTTCAAACAATCTCAATTTTTGAGAGTCAAGTGAAGTTCCCAGCAAGTCAAACAATTCTTCATTATATATTTCGAGAAACGATACACGCACAGAAAATTCTGCACATTCTTCCATAATGTTAAGCAATTCAAAAAGTTGATGCATTGCACGAGGAATAATGCCAGCTAATGGATCATCTTGCCATGAAAATTCTTCGGAGTCTAATCTGTCACCTTCCATTGTAAAGGTTTTTCCTGTTCCAGTTTGTCCATATCTATATTTAAAATTTAATGATATATATTACTTATTATATTATTTTTTCATACATATTGCTCATAATTAAAATTGTAAATGAAAAAATTAAAATAACTCTAGAAGCATACGCAAATATTGTGCAATTATATCCTTGAAGTACTTCATCAATAACAGGACAAACCATAGACTGATATATATCAATTTGTTTAGACTTGGGTCCAAATACTTTATCAAATGAAAAAGTTTTATTGTTGCCTTTATCCATATAATTCATGTCTTGGCGTACAGTTATCTCTTTGGTTTGATTATTTATGTCAACGACATCAGCAGAACCAGCCTTAATTTCTTGACTGTTCCTTGGCCTAAATAAAATTATACAAAAGTTTTAAAAAGTTTTAAACAAAGTCACCAGTTTTATCAGTATTCTTTTATAACTTATCAATTAGTCAAATTTTCATAACAAAACAAATATGATGAGTTTTTCAAACTTTTTTAATTTAAATTTTATTTAAATTAAAAAAATTCAAAAGCAGTTTTTAGTTACTTTGTTAAACATTTAATTGTATGAAAGCTCCTATAAGATTTTTAATGAGTTATTCAAAGTGTACAAACAAATTAGAAGACATATGGAGCGTAGAAGGTGTAAGGGAGTACCTTACACCTTGTACACTCCATTACAGATATATAGCCTGTATAAAATTAATTAAAACTAAGAACTGTGTTTCAAATTTTTTTTTTAAAGTATTTTTGTTGTGATTTTAATGTGTGTCAATAATTAACTTTGCTAATTATTGATAAAAGTCACATGTTGCATACTTTTTTTTATTATAACGTTTTGTATAACGACCATTAATTGTTGACAAGAATCACAAGTTGTATTTTTAAATGCTATATATAGCAAACAATTTTTTTGTAAAAATGTTGAGGTTGTTGATAAGTAATAAAAACATTAAAAATAAAATGGCTTCTAAATGTGTTAAACAACAATTTTGAAGGTAAATAAAATAGAAAATCAATTTAAAATTTTAATACAATTTTCTCTTTTTAAAAGTTAAGATATAAAACCAAACTGAAAAAAAATGGCAGGAAAAAATAAGAGCGAGTGCAGCAAAAAGCTGTCTTAAAACAAACAAGGTGAGCTATGCAAGCTGCTCCTTTAAACAACATCTTAAAAGAGCTTTTGGTTTTGAGAGAGCTATCTTTTTCTTCATTAAAAAAATTGCTTACTAATTACAAAATTTTTGTTTTATTCATGTTACAAGCCCAAAACGTATGGTTTTTTTAAAAATCTAAATTTAAGAGATATATATCATATAAAGAAGTTTTATTTTCAAATAATTTTCATTTAAGTTAAAAAGTTATCTGATGTATCAATGAATCTTATTAAATGTAATTTATTTTTATTTCTTTAAAACAATTTTTCACGAATTTGTTAAATTTTAGTAATTAATTCTTTTTTTATCATGAATATGTGTTTTTTATAATAAATAAATAACTATCGATTGTGTAACTTAGAAAAAAATTTGCTGAAGTAATGCGTGTGTTTTTAAAAAAATTAAGCAAACGCTAATGTGGGCATGTACAAAAATATAGAAACATGACATTTATTTTTCTGTGTTTTTCTTTTAAAAAGCTTGGATTTTCGTAGATTTGTCATGCCATGTCAAGGAAATTTTTGTTACATTAATATTGCAAGAATATATACACAAGTGTCATTTATGTGAAAAAATATAGCCTGTCATTTATGTGAAAAAATAGGCATGAAAAAATTCTTTAGACAAAATTGTTTTAACGCTTATTAAAAAAATTATATATTTTTTTATTATAATAGAATGCAGGTTTTTTTAAGAATTACTAAAAATAATTATTAGATTGACTGTGTTTATTTAATTTAGTTAGAAAGATTATTATACTTTTGAAAGAAAAAACTATACTTTTGCGAGAGCCATAAACTACTCTCATAAACTGTTTTAGGGTAGTGTGGGCGAGAGCTAAAGCTCTTGCTTCCTTATATGCTCTAGTCTTCAAATATGGTTAAAGAAACTATTGTTATCCAACCATTTTGTAATTACCTTCATTGCTTTAAAGCATGTAATGAAAATTGCTTATTTAAATATTCAATATTTAAATAAGCAATTTTCATTATTTATCATTATTTATCAATATCTGTTATTTTTTTCATACCAATGTTATATTGGTATGAAAAAAATAACAGATATTGATAAATAATGATAATGCTGAAATATTTTTTAAAATTTTCAGAACCATTTTTAACATCAGCTATAAGATAGTATAATAATTTTGGTTCTATTGCACATTTGAGATTATTTTTGATGTGTTTGACAACTAAAAATTAAAACGCTTATTCTTTAACTTGATATACAATATATTGATTTAAAAATTCATGTATTGAACTTAAGTATTCAACTTAGACTAACTAATAGATTTTAATGTGGTAAATTACTTAGTATATTAAAGTTATCACAATATGATATTGTGATAACTTAAATATACTGGATATTGAATATCCAATAAATTTAATTCTAATTAAATGCATAAACTATACATATAAGCCTTACCGACACCTTACAGCAACTTGGATATTTTGGTTTTTGTCTAATTTTAAAATAGGCTTTCCCATGTTTCTTATATTGTAGCTAATAAAAAATAATTACAAATATTAACAAAATATAAATATTAACGTAAAACAACGTTAAGTAAAAATCAAAAATGGAGCCAAAATTCAAAACACAACACCAACAGCCAATAGAAATTCTATTAGAATCAAGCATTTTGTGTTTGAGCGCTACACATTCCGCGAACTTATGCTTGACCACTTTCTTGAAAAAATAACACTATCCGTTGCATGATTTGATATAAAATAAAAAAAATGAATCAAATAAAAAAAAATTAAAAAAAATATTATAAATAAAATAAAGTCACCCAATACTTCACTTTGAAAAAATTCTTTTTGGATTTTCATTAGATTTAGTTCAATCAACACTACTATGCGCAGTTATCAGAAATAACTTAAAATTAGGCAAAAAAAAATTTTTATGGAAAATATTTATTCAAAATTGTTGAAAATTTGCACTATGATGTAAAAAAAATTGACTAAAAATCTTTAAAATAGGGTCAAATATGGTCAGAATTTTTTGTAAAAAAAAAAACGTAATTTTTTCGAAGTAAACTTTGAAGAAATTCATTTCTATCAATATAGATTATGTCCTTAATAACTAAATAAAATTGATGTTTTGTGAACTTTATATTGTAATATCTGCGGCCGTGGCGCAGTAGTTAGAGCGCTTGTTTTATATGCAGGAGATCCAGGTTCAAAACGAGCCTTGGACATATTTTCGCGTCAGGGTGAGAAAGGAGGCGTGAACTTCCTGGTTAAATGCACTTCCGCAGTGCTCTGTGACAAGACGTTAGGTCTTCTTATGGCACCTAAATAACAATAAAAAAATATTAATAATTAAATAAAAAAATTAAAAAAACAGAATTTTTCTTAAATTGTTTTGTAATAGCTCTAAATATATGCGATATAATACAATATCACTGGATTTACATAAAATTTTAAAAAAAAAATTTTAGAGGTGCCCAAGTCCCTTAAATATTTATAGGGCCCCTTATATTCTAGGAAAAAAAATTCTTCAAAACTAGGTCAACCTGGTTTTCAAACGAAGTAAAATTTTATAAAAAGTTCGAAAAAAATAATTGTTTTATAAAAAAAAATTTTTAGAGGTGCCCAAAGTTTCTTAAATATTTATAGGGCCCCTTATATTATAGAAAAAAAAATTCTTCAAAACTAGGTCAACCTGGTTTTCAAATAAAGTAAAATTTTATAAAAAGTTCGAAAATAGTAATTGTTTTATAAAAAAACATATAAAAAAAAAAATTATCGAAAAACTAGTAAAAATGCACTTTTTTATTTTTAGTTAAAAAACTATAATTATTATGCAATAAAATCAAAATAATAATAATTTTTTAATAAAACAAATAAATATTTGTTTCATTAAAAAATTATTATTTTGAATTTATAGCATTATAATTATGGTTTTTTAACTAAAAATAAAAAAAGTGCATTTTTACTATTTACAGGGTCTTTTAAAAACTTTTTATAAAATTTCGCTTCTTTTGAGTACCAGGTTGACCTATTTTTGTAGAACTTTTTTTTAAAAAGTATTAGGGACCCTGTAAATGTTCAATTGACTTGGGGCACCTCTAAAAATTTTTTTATTCCAAAATTTTTTAAATCAAGTGATAGTTCATTATATCGCATATTTTTAGAGCTATTACAAGAAAGTTTTGAAAAATTATGTTTTTCAATGCACCCTAATATTAGGGTGCATTGAAAAGCATTGAAACGGCATCCCATTCCCACGTGACACCTAATCGCGCCGGGCCCGGCGCGAGTTGGTGTCACGTGGGGATGGGGTGCCGTTTCAACTTTTGCTGATTAAAAATAAAAAAAAAGCCGACTAAAATTTAAAAAAAATTGTATATACACATTAAAAGTTTTGTTCAGAAATGTAAGGAAAAACTCTCAAAACATAAAAGTTGAAGTTAAATTATTTCGTATTAGCTTATACGTCGCTAATAGTTTTTATAAAACAAGCTTTTTAAAACCTAATAATTTCAAAATGGGCCAAGTTGGGGTAGCTATCTTTTTGACTTTCTTGTAGAATGATACTAACTCTCTTTAAGAAAAGAATTGACTTTGCGAAGGAAATCGAAAGAAAAAAGTCTTAGCTCCATCAAAATTATTTGAAATTCGTTAAAATTGCATTTTTTTTTTTTTTTAAATGCATTTTTTACTTATCTGAGCAGTTTTATACTTGTCTAAGCAGTTTTTTAACCAAAACTAGTATAACACGGACACATGTTTACTTAGCTGGTGATTTTAACTTAAATTTACTAAATTATGCTTCAAATAAAAATGTTCAACATTCTCTAGATACTTTTATAGAATATAACCTAATACCAACAATAAATAAGTCAACGAAAATAACTAAGACCCCATCATCACTATTTGATAATATAATTACTAACAATTTTCAAAACTGCTGTTTAGGAACAGGCATAATCAAAACTGATTTAACTGATCACTTTCCAATATTTTTAATTTTAAAAATATTTTTAAAACCCTAAATAATTTCCCTTCAAACACTACAATCTTAACACGACAGATCTTTTTTTTCAGTTTTTTTTTTTCAAAGAGGTTTTAAATAGATAAGACGCTTTTTATTTTGTCGTAAGTTTTTGAGCTATTTTTTTTCTTATTTTGTTTTTTTCTTTTAAAATTTTCTTTCCTTCTTACTATTTTTCTTCTTCTAAATACATATATTATAATATATTATATCAACTAAAGTCAATCGCTTCGAACTAACTATATAGTAACTAAATATATAGTGTTTTTATTTTTATTTTATTTTTATTGCTCGTATCTATATTTATATATAAATATACGACTATATTATAAATAAACCTTTATTATTCGAAGATTTGATTTGCGCTTATATTATTTAAGTAACAAGTTTTTAACTTGTTTTTTGAAAACCTTTTTAAATTATTTCATTTTTATTTTATTTTAAAAGTTTTTCAACTTTCTTCGTAGTTTTTTTTTATAGTTGCGTTGCACCTGATTCTTAATCTGTTTGTTGTTTTCGGATTAATTTTTGAACATAAAAATAATTTGTGTGTGTGATTGTGACAAACGTTAATAATATATATAATTATATATACGGAAAAACTGTTGTTATATAAAAATACATATAAGTATTGTTTATATATATACAAAAATTATATATAAAATATCCTTTCAACTATCCACCAACTTAATAACCAAATTTGTTATCCAACCACAACACTTATTCGAAGCATAAACCTCAATCTAATTAAACCAGTCATCTAATTAGATCCTCAACATTCCAAAATGTCCGCCAACAAATTGTATGAAACATCGTCCACTTTCTTTAAACCCAATAGACCTGCTTGAAAATTGGCCGGGTCCTGGAAAAGGCAAGGCTGCTTATTTACCTAAAAGATGTGACGCCATGATCCGCTCTCTAGCTACAACAGTCAAATTACTGCTTGAAAAAGTAGCAGCCCTCGAAAAAACCAACACCAACTTGCAAATACAACTCACTAACTGCCAACCACCGGCAGTTTATCCTTCCGTTTCTCAACCAACCCTAAAATCTTTTGCTTCGCAACTTACCAAACCCGGATTAGCCACAAACAATGCCGTGAACATAAACGCCAAGCTTCAACAGTTAAAAGCTAAGAGAGCCATAATCACCGGAATTCCCAACGCAGCCAGTACCGATGCTTCCGTCGTCGATCAATCGGTAAAGGATATATTACAATACGTACATTACTCTGCTTCCTTCAAAGTTGTAGGACGCATTCCTGCCGCTATTTCTAACAAAAATAACAAATTGCCGCCAAACACTAGCATATCTAATTCTTCTACTGTCACTCCCCCCACTCAACCAGCTCCACCGTCTCTTATCATCGAATTCCCAACCAATGAAACTCGCAACGGTCTTCTAGCAATCGCAAAAAACCTTGCCACCAATAAATCATACAAAAGTGTCTTCATACGGCCAGACAGAACTCCTTCAGAGCAAGATCTTTTTAACAAGTTGAACAACGAAAAGTTTAAGCTCAACAATGGCCTTAAAGCAAACGGTAAACTTGATCAGCCCTTTCGTTTTGTCATCCGCAGCGACAGAGTCAAATGCATCGACGTTAACAAAAAAGTCAACATCAATTGCTTGGAAAAACACCCGTTCATCAACTGGAAAGGAGCGCTCGCGGCGGCCCAAACCAACCAATGAGAAGTCGCAACATTCAACTCATGACCGTTTTCATATAATTAAAAATTTGTCTTCTCCCACTTCACAAAGCAATGCTTCTAAATTTTTACTAAACTCCTTCCATGCAAACGCCACATCTCTAAATCCTAATAAACTCACCGAACTTGAATTAGCAACGTCCCTCTATGATTATGACACCATTTTTATCACTGAAACATGATTTAACGAATCCTCAGCACCAGCTATTCCCAACTACAATCTCTTTAGAAAAGATTGCTCTAGTCGTGGAGGAGGAGTAGCCATATATGTCAAGAACAGCATTATTGCCAACGAAATTGACTACTCTCAACTTCACATCGGTTTCCAATGCAATTTCTCAGAACAGATCTGGCTCGAACTTAAACTCCCACAAGAAACTCTCCTAATCGGCTGCATCTATCGCCCACCTACCAATAATGTTCTGGCCTTTAACGAAATAGTAAAAGCTATCTCCTACGCGAAATCGGCCGTAGAAAACAAAAAGTTTAATGGTCTAATAATCACCGGCGACTTCAACTTTCCCGACGTCATATGGCACGACGACTGGACCAATACCACCGGCGCTGAAACTAGTTTTGGCACTAAATTTGCCAAAACCATTTTTGACCTACATCTACACCAGCACGTTATCAATCCCACCTTCATCCAAGCCAACGGTCTGTTCAAAAATACACTAGACCTTGTAATTACCGAAACAACCGAACGATTAACTCATATTACTATCGGTCCTCCTCTTGGTAGCGCCTCGCAAGGTCACTGCACTATTACATGGCAACACCAGCTAGCCAAAAACGTCTGCAACTCTCCCCGTTTTAACATCTCAAAATTTATATACAGAAGAGGTAATTACGCGAATCTAAACGAGAAACTCTCCCAA